TTAGATAATGCTCCACCCTGTTAAATAACTTCAATATTTATTAGTAAGGTACAGCATGCAATACATAGAGCAGAAGCCACAGAAACCAACTTTCACTGGCCACTTCAAATCTGGTTGTCAAGGGTAGCACTGGTTTCTTGCCCTTTGCCATATGATATTAAACAGGTCCCACAACTCCAGTTTTGCAGTGTACCTTATCAAGTATTTTATGAGATATAGCACAAGTAAGAAATCTAATCAATGTAACATGAATGATTGTGTTTGCTTTTCAATTCAAATGTATTAATAATTAATGTTAGTAGGTAAGTCAAAATTGATTGTAATATTAACTGTAGAGGAAATCAGTACTTCAAATAACACTACTGTAAAACCAAATGTCATGGTTAGGTAGGTTCAAAGCAACCAAAAAGAGAAGGTCCAATCACTAAAGCAATACTGGCAATATTGATGATTAATGAGAATGTTGCAAACCATTTTTACACATTCTTAATTGATAATATGGGACATATTTATGCACAATAAGAATAACTTGTATGTATATGTCCTGTGCTTCTCCTATGCTATCTGTTCTTCAACTACCTATTCAAAACAATAAAAAATGATTACACTAAAGAAACCTGAAGTCTCACGCATTGTAAAGCCTTTTTGAAAAAGATAGTGTTTAGATGTCATCTTTTCCATCACAAATTCAGATTATAGCTTTTAATGGCTCCTCCAGGTCATTCTTTATAGAAGCCATGGTTTTCATGAACTGCACTGATGATGGCCAACTAGCCTCAAATAACTGTATACTTTATGTACTGTATGCATTCTATAAATATATGTTTGCATTCTAAATGGAAAAATAAATAAATATAATCCTAAAAATCAACTGTATGCAATTTGGAATGAATGGCTAATATGCTATGCTATAAACCAATGGTACAGGGTATGCAACTTGTCCAAGGATATAAAGTAGTGATTGCATTGCTCTGAATACTACTCATTAATGCACAAAAAAACTTTTTTTTTTAAAAAAAGCCTGTTCTATGTTTCACAATAACATAGTTGAAAATATAATAGAGTAAAATGGTGATATAGCTTAATGTCTTTTACAGGTTGTCAGCTATAGGGGCTGCAGTATTAAGAAACAACCAGAATCAGTCTCAGTACTGTACATGGTATACATGCTGCTCTATCATTTACTACAATTCCTGCACAATACCTGTAGATACACAAAACAATATATTTTCAAAGGAACATATAACACAATAGTAAATGCCACAGAGAAGGAAAGGGATTCACACATCATAAAACAAACACTTTGAGCTGCCTTCGTCAAATGACACTTTTTCTACATAGGTATTATTGGACCACATGCTAAATATACATACACGGGGCTCACTCACCTTGTTCGCATGTCCATCCAAGATATTCTGCTGTTGATTAAAACTATAGGGGACTTGCAGGAACCCTGATCTCTGCTGTATGCCAGTTACACCACAAAGCACCAGGCTGGTCAAAATGCATGCCAGGCAAAACATCTTCCTTTTAGGAAAAATGAAAAGCTCCTTCTACTTGATTCTGATTCTACAAACAGTTCCTTAGAGGATTTAAATAGTAAAATATATCTTAATATATAAATATAGAAAGAACTTCTGTACTGCTCCTGCAGCCTGTCAGTGGGCACCCATTCTCCAAAGTGCAGTCTGTGCTTACAAAACTGTCATCCACCTTGTGACATCCCTCTTATACTGCAGAATTCTGACTCAGGTATCCAGGTTAACTGCAAGGCATGCATGGTGCTGTCTTATGCTCCACCTCTCAGATCACAGCATGAGTCATATTGTGAAATAAATATATGTGGCCCCAAGGCCAGACAAGCAGTTTAGTATATGGTAGTGTATCTAAGGTGTGTCTGATAACACATCGCCTCCACCCTGGGAGAGTCAGACATTTCTAGACCACTCGTACGGTAAATCACTGCCTGAGTAATACCGTAGACAAGTAGGATGTATGTGTGATGGATCAGTCAGAGGTGGCACGGCTTCCTTTGGGCTACATATTTTCAGCATAGCACAGTTAGACCAGAGGCTGCTCAGAGCCTCTGTAAAAACAAGCCTTTACATGCTGCATGCTCTGCTATTCCTCACTGAGAGCATTAGGGTTTTCAATTGCATCATTAGATTGGATTGTACAGGTGATTGTATATCGTTGTCAGCTATTACATCTTTGAAAGGCGTAAAGGACAAATTAACAATGTCCTTGGGCTTTCCTGTGTTTATTAAATGTTTTTATTTGGTAAAAAAAGGAAACAAGAAGTAGTATGGGCAAGTTATACAGTTTAATAATGATCTACCGTACTTTAAATAAGACAGGAGTAAATGGATAATAAAAATAGAAACTTTTTCAAACCAAAGAGCATTATTTTAAAACATGGCGTTACTTGGCTTCAGGGCCCTTTCAGCTTCTGCATAACCAGTAATGTGCATTTTTTTTATGACTATGATTTCATACCTTTATGAGCAAGCAAATGTGTTTTTCAAACATTTGTAATTTATGCATGGAAAGCGCTAAGCAAACTGTATATAAATCCTGTATAATAATAATAATAATAATAATAATATGCATGCATTATATAATACTGAACTTTGTTTAACCACCTGTGGTCCTTAAGCCTAAAAGTTATTCCCTAAAAAAAAATAAAATGTAATCTAAGTATTTCAAACATCCCCTGGTCCCCCTCTATCCTCAATACCCCCATCCCTTCCACTGCAGGTACTATGTCCGGCAAAATATTTGGGACCAAAAGTCAATTTGACAGGTGGGTCTTACAGGAGCACAAACAGTAGCACCTTAGTAAATGAAGCCAGCAAGCAGTGTTTGGCAACTTTACTGATTAATATGTAGCAATATTATTCATACAACATATTTAGTTCTTTTATAACATCGGTTAAACCAGCTTCAAGTGAAAGGTTTTACGTTTGAAATGGAAACAATTGCGTACTGTCCGTGATACTTTTTTATTTGCACTAACTTACAATTTTCAGGACAAGCTGTCAGGGTATGCCCCCTTCTTCAAGGTCAAGGGACAAACCCCGAAAGATTGTCCTGAAAATTGTATGTTAGTGCAAATAAAAAAGTATCATGGACAGTACTCAATTGTTTCTGTCGCAAGTGCACTAATACAGCTACAATCAAAATACAGTGCACTAATACAGCTCAAGCAAAATGTTTGAAATACAATTTTTCCTTTTTAACCCTTTGTAACTATTAGTTTACCCCAATGAGTCTTATTTTATTTCCAACCTCCTCTTAACCTTTTAGCTGTTATTTATTGCAGTTATTTTTTTAATGTACTATTCATTTGTAAACTTTTTTCTTCCATTCTTTATTTAGAGTAATCCCAGTAATCACAACCAATAATGTGATAGACATAGTGGGGTTCATTTACTAAATCTGGTTCACTCAGGATCTGGTGCACTTGTGCAGCTTCTAACCAGCTTGTTCATTTAGGCTTTAGCAAGAAAACCTGGAAGCTGATTGGTTTCTATGAAGAAGTGCATGAGTTTCTCAGTGAACCAGCTTTAGTAAATAAACCTCAGTATAACATACTATTTTATTTAAATTTTTTTTGTTGTGTTGCATTGAATAAAAAAATATTTAACACATTTATTTCATTTGTAATAACATGCTCTGTACTAGAAACATAATTGTAGAGTTATTACACAACCATCAGAGAACGTTTGCACTTTTTTCTACAGTAACACTAGTGGTGTAAAAACGAATGTGGCTGTTGAATTGGTTAAACTGCAGCTAAAGATGTGAACTAGTCACATACTAATTCCCTGCAACCTAGTGTATCCATTTTTCTGCTGGAACCTGACAAAATGGCCGTGAAGGAATATCAGTTTTGCTGGCTTGATCATTCTGTCATCTTTTATCCAAAATTAATATGCTTACTGTGTTTGGTTATGCAAATGTACAGTATTTATTTATTACAGGTACTTATATAGCATCATCAACTTATGCAGAACTTTACATATATATTGTACATTCACATCAGTCCCTGCCCTCAAGGAGCTTACAATCTAAGGTCCCTAACTCACATTCATATATAAACATACTACAATTTAGAGAGGAACATATTAACCTACCAGTATGTCTTTGGAATGTGGGAGAAAACCGTAGTATTCGGTGGAAACCCACAAAGGCCAAGGGAAAACATGCAAATTCAAGGCAGTTAGTGTCATGGGAGGTATTTGAACTGAGACCCTTGTGCTGCTAAGCAGAAGTGCTAACCACATAGCCACTGTGCTTTCCCACCACATAGCCCTTGTGCTGCCTATACAGTCTGCATACATGCATATTCTTGTAATAATGTAGATTGTCTCCAGTTACCAGGAGATCCATAGAAATGCGTGTTAGAACAGTATTTATTATAGCACAAGAGAGTAAAGAAGCTCCAAAACTACAGAGCTTTGGGTACAGTTTTGCCTTGTCATCAATGGACACCTGTAGGAAATCCAGCTGCATAAGTAATATGGAGGTAGAGGTGCATTGGTCTTGCAGAAAGCAATCTCAAGAAACTGTAACTTTCAATTGGTGCATTACTGTATATATATAACCCAACAGGAGTTTTTCACATAACATACTGTGCATGTCATGCCTCCAATTTATTAAGAACGCATACCTGTCAAAACGTCTTTTAACCACCCACCCAAGGCACATGGTGGCAAAGCAGACACTACTTCTCATGAGGATATGGCTCACTTAGGTTTATCTTCCTACCCTATTAGGTTTTTTACACTAATAATTTAGTGAAATGAGGACATGGGTTAAAAAGGATGGAGCCTGTACATAATATACAGTACCTGTTGCATTAGGATTGTTATTTAAATACACCATCTATAAATCTATTGTTTGAAAAAAAAAAACTTGGCATAGACAAATCTTTGTTGTGTCTGAATAATAGTTGGGTCATAATGTTAGATAAGGAAGGAGACTGTCAGCAAACCTACCTGGCATGAGTCACCTGTATATTCGGGAGGGCAGGCACATATCTCTATACTGTGTGCTACACGCCCACTTCCTGAGATGGTGACGTCCTCAAGGCCAACCTCTCCGAGGGTGAGGCGCTGAGTCTCGGTAAAGTACAAGGCTCGGATATGTAAGCTTTCCAGTCTGGACAAGATCATCATAAGCTCTTCTCGAGACACTAAGCTGTTGCTGCTTGCATGCCGGAAGTTCCCCTGAAATATAACAGCGCAGTATAACAATGTCAGCTCAAAATTGATGTAATGATATCCTGTGTTTTTAATCTGACAGAAATTAGACTTAAATAGAATTTCTTTTAATATAGCATGAACCATATTAAAATTATTTTCCCTGCAGCAACAAAATTATAATTTTTCAACCTAGATATCATTTCATACATTAAATACAGTACAGAGATCTTAGAGTAAAGGAAAACCATACTGTGTATATTTCAGTTATTATTGAAACATAATGGTATGTACATTTTACATGGCTTGCTTACTGCACATTGTAATAATTGTATTCTACAGGCAGATTTATAGAGTCAGTAAGCTCTGACATGACTCCATATTACTAGTAGCACTAAAAAGTGCAGCTTCCCACCTGTTAACTAGGTGTCTCATCACACAGTGAAAGCAAAAGAATGTTACATTACTTACACTTTCAATGTGAAACATCATGTTGTCATGTTCCCATCTGCAAATCATGTAGTGTTTCCATTTTTTCATCTAACTCGTATACACTATATTGCCATAAGTATTGGGACACCCCTCTAAATTACTGGATTCAGGTGTTCCAATAACCTCCATGGCCAGAGTTGTATAAAATCAAGCATCTAAGCATTCAGACTGCTTCTACAAACATTTGTGACAGAATGGGTCACTCTCAGGAGCTCAGTGAATTCAAGCGTGGTACTGTGAAAGGTTGCCACCTGTACAATAAGTCCATCTGTGAAATTTCTTTGCTACTAAATATTCCACAGTCAGCTGTTCGTGGTATTATAACAAAGTGGAAGCAACTGGGGAGCGCAACTTGGTAGGCCACGTAAAATGACAGAGCGGTGTCAGAGCATTCTGAAGCACACAGTGCACAGAAGTCACCAACTGTCTGCAGAGTCAATAGCTAAAGACTTCCAAACTTTGTGTGGCCTTCAAAGTAGCAGAACAACAGTGCATAGAGAGCTTCATGGAATGGGCTTCCATGGCCGAGCAGCTGCATCCAAGCCTTACATCACCAAGTGCAATGCAAAGTGTCGGATGCAGTGGTGTAAAGAACGCCACCACTGTACTCTAGAGCATTGGAGCCGTGTTCTCTGGAATGATGAATTACGCTTCTCTGTGCTGTCAACCAATTGTCTGTAATTTCTGTGGTGTGTACAGATCTTGAAAGCCTTCCTGTGTGCATAGTCCAGGTGTGCAGATCCCCAGCCAGCATTCCTGAAGTCTTCATGACCACATCATCATGATGTCTTGTCTAAACCCAAGGCCAAACTAATGTGTACTTCTCAACTATTCTGAGCTCTGTTTACAATTTAGTAATGGCTTAACTGGAAAAATATTGTATATCTGAAAAATCTTAACATGCTCCGTGCTGGGCATATGAGGAAATCAGTATTGAAATCTATAAATGCAGTGCAGTTCCTCCTGATATGCTATCAGCGTAAATACTCAGTACTGATCTGATTTTTGTGGTACTTGTAAAAGTTGTCAAATTCTCATTAATCTGTATAACAGACCTGTTCATTTTATATAAAACAGAGAGGGCCTAAGGGAGTAGAATACATTTGCACAGGAATAGAAATCATCATCTGCTAAAGCCTATTTAGTTGTAAAAAAAAGATGAATGTACTTTGAATATATACATCATAAAAAGTAATAATACCTGTTACTACAATGTTTACTCTAATATTATACCCATAGTTATAATTACTAAATTATGTAAAAAACTTGATCCAAGGACTGATCCCACTGTGCTACCATGTAGTAAAATTGGCAACAGTTGCCCATGGAGATTTGATCTGCCCGAGTCCAAAAGTGCAAAAGCTGCCAAAGGCAGAACTTGATGAATACAAATCTTTTTTAAAACCCTGGTTAACCACATAATTACTGAAATGGTGCATGAAGCATTTTAAGAAGCACTGAGCTACAAAATGATGTCAGCGTTCTCAGAAAATGTATGATTTATAGGGGGTGATTTACTAAAGGCAAATAGACTGCACTTTGCAAAGTGTACAGTCTATTTGCCTTTAGTAAATTAACCCCAGAGTCTGCTCATGAGTCATGCTCATGAGAAGGCTTGTACAGTACTGCACATATACCTAACTTTGGAATACTGGCCTTGTACTGGTCTTGGGCCTGTGAAGTCAAAGTCATCCCTGCCAATGATGTCATCAAAGTGCAGTTATGACTTTAAAACCCTACTCTAGGCAGGTCAGACTTTGTCTGAGATGCACTGAGAAAATTACTGGCTTTCTTTAAATTTTATTTGATTAAAAACAATACAATGTGAAACATGACCAGATAAGACAGTGTTCATATTGAAGAGATGAGGTCGTTTCCCACATGCTATTTTTCTGCGCTGTTCTTTTTTTAACCCCATCCTCACTTGACCCTGCTAAGTGTCCATGTTGCTGAGGGTGGTCTGTATCAGTAGGGATGAGTAGATTTGAACCACTGGAGAAACTATTGATTTCACTTACTGAGCCGCTTAGGTGGAATTTGCTTGAAAAAAGTCCATATTCTTTTTTCTGCTATATTTTAGAGGGTGTGTGTGTTTTCTCTTTTTTTGTGCATTTTATTGTTATTTGTGTACTGTCACTTTAAATATTGGAAAAAATTAAAACAATGAGGATAATAAGGGCTTTTTTGGGAAAGGAACTGATCCATAATAGCTGAAGTCAACCTCTTTACCAATCAGTAGCCATTTAAAAGTCCACTGCATTGTTAAAAACCACCTTAATTTGCCTTACCCATTGACTATGCATGCATTTTGCCAAAATGGTGAAAATTTGCCGAAAAATCCCAATTTACCTCACAAGTTTTAGAAAACAAAAAGTCTCAATTTCAAATTCTCCTAAAGCTCAGATTGTGCCTGCATGTCTGTCTTCCTCTTGTACAGTGCAGGTTAACTACTTAATATAAAGGGCCCCGAATTCAGCCCCTGACTTCGCCAAACAAGTGCACATAATATTCATTAAATGTAATGCTACAGAGAGCTGTCAGAGACAGTGAACATGCTATTGCAGAGGATCAGAGACTGCAAATATGCTACAGGAGATGATCAGAGACTGCATCAGTGGCATATCATCCATGGGTGCAACATGTGTGGTGCACAGGGGCTCCGAGGGGAGGGCTCATGGGTGGGCAGCCCATACACATGTATGGGGCCCTAGCATCCACAGGGTATCCAGAGCTTCCCGCTCCTCTACATTTTCTGAGCCTTCGCTCATTGCAGCTTCCTTTGTGTGGTTGGGGCATCAGTCATCACGTGACCACCGGTGGTAGAGAACGGTTCAGTCAAACTGAGCGCCATAGTTAGTGGAGTGGTGGCAGTGAAAAGGAAGGGGGGGAGCTTTCACAGACAGGCCTGTCTGGTGAATGTAGGTGCAAGTATTGCTGCTGCACAATATAATTCTCTTTGTTTTTTTGTTTTAGAGTTGTTTATTTAGATCTGCTAGGGGAGGATAGATTGGGGGGGAGTTGAAAAGGTAGTGCAGTTAGTGTTAGTGTAGGGTCCAGCTCAAATGAGTCTACTTGGTCGTGGTGGCAGGCTTTTGGCCAAAATATAGTTCCTTACTGTTAAATCATGAAAGCACTGATGCCTTGAAACACACTTTTCAGCAATAAACTGCTTCTTAATTGCACTCAATATTTGTTAAGCACTTTATTTCCCCAAACCTCCTTTGAGCCACGCCCAATATTTCGTGCAATTTAAACCACGTGCCCTTTTCACCACGGAGTGCTCCGTGTACCACTTTTTCGTATCTTTCTCAAAACCTAGAGCCCACTTTTGATCTTGTAAATAGGCCCATTGATTTCATACGATACTGATTTGATACGCCGCTGGACTGCATACATGCTACAGAAGATGATCATATGCTCCAGGCATGCAATAGGAGATGACAAGACTGTGAACGTCCTAATGAAGATGGTCAGAGACTGCAGACATGCAACAGCAGATGATCAAAAACTACAGGCATGCAACAGGAGATGATCAGACATTGAACATCCTACAGGGGATGATCAATGACTGCAGACATGCAATAGTAGATGATCATACTGCAAACATCCTACAGGAGATGATCAGAGACTGCAGACATTTCATAGGAGATGGTCAGAGACTGCAGACATGCAACAAGAAATTATTAAGTCAGACTGTGAACATCCTACAGGAGATGATCAGAGATTGCAAACATCATACAGGAGATGATCAGAGACTGCGAACATGCAATGGCAGATGGTTGTACTGTCAACAGGCATGCAATGACGAGACTATGAACAACCTACAGGAGATGAGCAAAGACTGCAGAAATGCAACAGGAGATAAGACACTGTAAACTTCCTATGGGAGATAGTCAAAGACGCAGACATGCTACAGGAGTTGTTGGAGACTGAGGTAATGGTTCAGAAGACAGAGAATGGGGAATGAGATTGCAGAAGATCATTGCTATAAGTGACCCTTTAAAATTCAATGCTTTCACATTTGTACTCCCTACAGCACCCTTGAAAATTACTTGTGCCACATTTGATATTTCTCTTAACAAGATCTAGTATAGAAGATCAGAGGAAAAAAAACATAGAAAGAGGGAAGGAATGCGCAACACAACCCAGTTTAAAGAATATGTTTCTTTACTGATATATGTAAGAACCTAGCTAACGAAAACACAGACTACTGCCTGCAGGGATCCCATAGGCCACAAAATAAGTACCAAAGGGCAGGCAGCCCCTGGGCCACAGGTTAAGCATCAAGGTTCTAGTATCTATGAGACCTTGCAACTTTACAAGAATGATCTTGCAATGAATATCTGCTAGCTATGTATCACTCACTATTTGTAGATATTCTAGCATTGCTGAACATGAGCAGTCTTGAATATGTCCATTTTCTCTGATTTGATTCAGTCCTCCTTATACATACCAGTACTTTATGACTAAAACTCAAAGCAGTAGCTTTATGTAGAGTTCCATGTATGTTGAAATAAGAGTAACCTTTTCCATTTTAATCTCTTTGGCTCTTATAAAAACAGGATGGATAAAAGTTCAAGAGAATTCTGTCCTACTGCCACCCCCTGGAAAGGAATTTTTGTCTGATTTCCAAAAGAAACATTCACATTGTTACCATATGTACAATGTATAATTTTGCATTGTGTTTGGTATTCCCTGTTGGATTTTGTGGCTGGCACAAATTAATACAAAACCTTTACTGTAGCTAACACTACAAAACAAAGCTACTGCTACACCATAGTTGCATGCAGCCCATGTGGCCAGGTTATCTATAAACCTATTAAATCTAACTTTTTAATAAAAAGTGGGATGCTGGAAAATGTTTAATAATAATATTTTTAGGGCCAGTGGCAAAGTTTGTTTTGTTAGTTTTCCTCATTTTTTAAGACAAAGCCAATTAATATACATTATTTATTAAGATGTCGATACTTTCATTTTATAAGATGTCAGTTTCACTTTTAAAGGGATAAATTCATTAAAGTCCAACCCCAGCTTGAATTTTTTTTTTTTTCGTTTTGGAAAAAATCAGGAGGGGGTTGAAATTTTGTAAAGCTTTAAACACTGTCTGTGTTCCTATTGAGAAGATTTGCCCTCACACATCCTTTTCTGTCAGACACCCATCACCTGTACTTGAAGGAGACTTTTCAATAGAGCTAATCACAACCATGACACTACCTGCCTGGAGTTTGCATGTTTCTCCCTGTGCCTGGAGTTTGCATGTTCTCCCTGTGCCTGTGTGGGTTTACTCCGGATACTCTGGTTTCCTCCCACACTCCAAAGACATGCTGATATGCTAACTGAATCCTGTTTAAATTGACCCTAGTATGTGTATGTATGAATGTGAGTTAGGGACCTTAGATTGTAAGCTCCTTGGGGGCAGGGACAAATGTGAATGTGCAATATACAGTCATGGCCGAAATTGTTGGCACCCTTGATATTTCTCCAGGAAATCATGTATTTCTCACGAAACGTATTGCATTAACACATGTTTTGCTATACACATGTTTATTCCCTTTGTGTGTATTGGGACAAAACAAAAAAAAGGGGAGGAAAGAAAGCAAAATCGACATAATGTCACACAAACCTCCAAAAATGGGCTGGACAAAAGTATTGGCACCCTTTCACAACTGCGGATAAATAAGAATGTTACAAGCATGTGATGCTCCTGTAAACTCACCTGGGGCAAGTAACAGGTGTGGGCAATATAGAAATCACACCTGAAAGCAGATAAAAAGGAGAGACGTTCACTTAACCTTTGCATTGTGTGTCTGTCTGTGCCACACTAAGCATGGACAACAGAAAGAGGAGACGAGAACTGTCTGAGGACCTGAGAACCAAAATTGTGGCAAAATATCAACAATCTCAAGGTTACAAGTCCATCTCCAGAGAACTAGATTTGCCTTTGTCCACAGTGCGCAACATTATCAAGAAGTTTGCAACCCATGGCACTGTAGCTAATCTCCCTGGTCGTGGACGGATGAGGAAAATTGATGAAAGATTGCAACGCAGAATAGTCCGGATGGTGGATAAGCAGCCCCAAACATGTTCCAAAGACATTCAAGCTGTCCTGCAGGCTCAGGGAGCATCAGTGTCAGCGCGAACTATCCGTCGACATTTAAATGAAATGAAACGCTATGGCAGGAGACCCAGGAGGACCCCACTGCTGACACAGAGACATAAAAAAGCAAGACTACAGTTTGCCAAAATGTACTTGAGTAAGCCAAAAGCCTTCTGGGAAAACGTCTTGTGGACAGATGAGACCAAGATAGAGCTTTTCGGTAAAGCACATCATTCTACTGTTTACCGAAAACGGAATGAGGCCTACAAAGAACAAAACACAGTACCTACGGTAAAAATATGGTGGAGGTTCAATGATGTTTTGGGGTTGTTTTGCTGCCTCTGGCACTGGGTGCCTTGACTGTGTGCAAGGCATCATGAAATCTGAGGATTACCAAAGGATTTTGGGTCGCACTGTAGGGCCCAGTGTCAGAAAGCTGGGTTTGCGTCCAAGATCCTGGGTCTTCCAGCAGGACAATGACCCCAAACATACGTCAAAAAGCACTCAGAAATGGATGGCAAAGAAGCGCTGGAGAGTTCTGAAGTGGCCAGCAATGAGCCCAGATCTAAATCCCATTGAACACACTGTGGAGAGATCTTAAAATTGCTGTTGGGAAAAGGTGTCCTTCCAATAAGAGAGACCTGGAGCTGTTTGCAAAGGAAGAGTGGTCCAAAATTCCGGGTGAGAGGTGTGTCAGAAGCTTATTGATGGTTATAGGAAGCGACTGATTTCAGTTATGTTTTTCCAAAGGGTGTGCAACCAAATATTAAGTTAAGGGTGCCAATACTTTTGTCCAGCCCATTTTTGGGGTTTTGTGTGACATTATGTCATATTTGCTTTTTCTGCCTCTGTTTTATATTTGTTCCAATACATACAAAGGGAATAAACATGTGTATAGCAAAACATGTGTTAATGCAATACCTTTTTTGTGTGAAATACTTGATTTTCAGGAAAAATATCAAGGGTGCCAACAATTTCGGCCATGACTGTATATGTGAAGTGCTGCATAAATTATGGCGCTATAACAGTACCTGTAATATAAATAAACTATAATCCTGACAAAGGTTCTAAGGCCTAGTTCACACTGGCATTGAAAGCAGGCGTTTGAGGGGTGTGTTTTTAACGCTCCTCAAACACCTTTGCAATGATACTATGGGCAGCACACAGTGCTATTAACATTACCAAAACATGAAGAGCTAGCGTCACAGTGCTTCAAAATTGAAGCCCCATGTCAGGTCAGGAAGAGTCTGAAGCCTTTCAACGTCTTTCATTCAAGTCTATGGTGATGCTCCACAAATGCACTGGCAGGCATTTGCAAGGCATTTGTGATGCGTTTGCTGTATGTTATAACATTACAGTTTATGATAGTAGTTTGTGGTGTGGTTTTTAAACGTTTGTAAAACACTTATAAAATGCTTCAAAACTGCATTTTGGGAGTGTTTTTAATGCTTGTAAAAAGCCACTCTGACACCCATACTAAAGCTCATTAACACCTGTCTAATGCCTATACTAAAGCTATAGGAGCGTTTGGTAAGCCTTAGAAATTTAGTCAAGTGTGAACAAGTTCTAACACTTCCATGCACTACTAAAAAAGCTGTCGGTATTTGCTTTAGTACCTTTCCATCATTTCCTATTCTGTCTGACACCCATGAAAAAAAACAGAAAGTAAAGAGAAATCTCCTAAATGGAGCACACTGGCACTAATAAGTTGACAGAGGTTCTAACACTTACTCACTCTCTCCTAAAATAAGTCATGTTTGGCTAGATATTGTACTTTTGGCTTGAATGGTGCTGTGTTCAGATGAGCATAGTTAAATAGTTTCATTTTGGATAGAGGAAGGGAGGTTTAATCTCTGTAAGGCTTTTCTGCAAACTGTGTCCCATTGGGGAGATTAACCTTCACTTTCTGTCCCATCCAAAACAGAAAGTTAGAGGAAATCCCGCTATAGTGAGGAAATTACTTCTTGTCACCAGGGTCACCAGAACAAGTGTCCCCACTGAAAGATTTCCTCTCAATTACTGTTCTAGGGACAATCCAAAATTGGTATTTTCTTTCACTGTCACTTTGAGTGATAACAGTAGACACGACAAATAGAGAGGGGGAAAATCTCCCTAATAGGGATACAGACAACAATGAAAATCTGACAAGTGTTCTAATTCCTCTCCACGTTAATCAAATCCTCCTCAATAAATGTATCTTTAGTTATACTTTAATTTCCAAAAACCGGCACAATAAGATCCACCCAAAGGGACTCAAACTTATGAATCGGAGCTCTCAAGCTATATGGCCACATTCTCCCTGTACTTGAATTATTCAATGAAGAATCCAGCAGGGAGTTGGGAAAGTAAACATAAACAACAAGCATATCCAGATAACTAAAGGTACATTCGAACATTACATGATGATCACACAGTCTAGGATATGGTTGGACCTAGAAATTATAATAGGTATATGTGCATTTGGCATCATCTGCAAACAATCCCATCTGACAGAAAACCCTGTATCAGCTGTGCGGATTTAGCTGACAAGACCTGTTTATCTAAATAAGGCCTGTACATAGAGTGTTTGTACACTGCAAAAATCAAGCAGCAGATATGAATGTGTGTGTTTAAGCCTAGATTGTTCCTATAATTATTTTCAGATGGTTGGATATTCCAAACACTATCTTATTTCTATAGGCCCATTTACAGTACATGCACAGGGAATAGGGTAGAGTCAAGATCTTGGATAGAAGAGTTTTTTTCTCCAGGTTTCTAGGAAATTGGAAAGCGACTAAGCATGGCAACATTATTCTGCAGTTTTGGGTGTATTTTCACCTTAAGGTTTATTTGACAATCCTACTCCCCAACCCAACCCTCTTGTCAGTTTTATATTCCTCTGTCAACAATCCAGAGAGGTGTTGGTACCTTGACAAATCCCATTGTATGTATATAATTACAAAGCATTATCTTATCTTAAATGACCAATACAAAGTAAGCCATATTTATGATGTAAGCTATAGTAATTTGAGAATTAGTGTCTGGATCATCACTGTTCTGTAATTCTGACGGAATTTACAAATGTATCCATAAACCACCAGCATAATTAGTTTTGAAGAGAGTTTAATCTAATACTTGCAATCTTACCTCCACAAGCTGAACACGACCATAGTATTGCCTGTCTGGTAAAGGATTGTTGGGATCCACATAAACAACAGTCATTTGTCTACCCTAAATAACAAAAAAAGCAAAAAAAAAAAGTAGTTGATTGTGTAAAACACTAAAACAATCTGCTATTAGACTAGACCAGGGGTAGGCAACCTGTGGCTCTCCAGCTGTTGCAGGACTACAAGTTCCATCATGCCTCTGCAAGTCATAGCTGTAACTGTCAATTTTGCAATGTCTCATGGGAAATGTAGTTCCACAACAGCTAGAGAGCCACAGGTCGCCTACCCCTGGACTAGACAATAGAAATCAATGGACTAGCAGATGTCCAGACAAACACCTGCATAAGATACACAGCTAAAACACACATATGCAAGCTGTTTTGCAACTCTATTTAGCCATCCTTCTGAGTCACACACCTCTGCCACACTGCACCCCCTACACTGGTTCACCTTTGCAACATCTTACAATACTCCTCTGCCTGATCATTGGACTTTGGGTCAACATCACCACACCATTCATAGTCTAGTGAGCATACCAGAGTTGGAAAAGTTGCACAGGAAGCTTTAAATCAAAAGCCAGGCTGAAGAGAACTGCAGATCACAGTTCATATATACAGTATGTGTATAAATATATACTATATATATATATATATATATATATATATATAAAAATAAGAGATGGAAGTGAATATCGAGGAATGGAAAATTGGAAAGAGAAGTGAAGAGCTATTTGGACCATGGTAAATTGTTAGGGGGATTGGGTGAGGTGAGATTGAAACATTTTGGGGAATGGTTGTATGTTGGATGTAAATGTTATTTGGCTGTGCTTCTGTAAAGAAAAAAAAGTTTATTAAAATATTTAATAAAAAAACAAAAAAAAAACAAGTTTGTTCTGGGCATCACCGGTACTGTTTTTCTTTTCTTTATCTTTATTTGTAATAAAAAATAAATATGCTGTTTATCGACCATTTAGAATTCCTTGTAACAGGAACCCAAAAATATGTGGGATTCAACAGCCTGCTGGCCAATAATTCTCATACGTCTGTGATATATGATATCATAATCATACATCTGTGATTACACAGAAGCTTAGCCTGAAATCAGCAACAACACACAAATAGTTCATTAACTGTAGTATACAACAGCCACAATTACATTTTGTTATACTGCCAAGTACTACTGACCTGTATAGAACAATGGGCAGTAGAATCTATTACATGTTTGTTGCATCTGAAAGGAATTAATCAGCCATGAAACAATGGCAGAATATTGCTTAGTAGGAATGAAGGGAATGTTGGCAATCATAACAACTTCTGGCAGTGCTTGTGAAGTAACAGCAGAGCTCTATGATCCAAACACCTGGCAAACAGCAACACAAGAACCTGATCCGCACTCCACATTTCATTTTCTGTCTCATTATCCACAAGCCATCTACACATGGCATTCATATAAAGATCATATTTTATTTTATAATTGCATGTACAGGATACAGAAAAGTGATTGTTTGCAAGTTTTTGTTATACTTTCTATAGAAAATAGAATAAAATATCTACTTACTGTTAACAAAACATCCGGACGCTTGTCTAGAAGTACCATGCCTTCACTTGGCAAGCCAAAGGACTTCAGCTGATATGTCAGAGAGCCTCCATATGAAGAAATCTGTTCATAAAGAAGCAGATACAGTATATGTGTTTTCTTAAGCACTGTAACAGAGGCTATACTAAGCTTCATTCATTCTACAAAAATGAAACTGTGTTAACTCTAAATAATTGCTGAGTTTCATATTTCATTGGCTATGGTGATATATAAACGGCAACATGGAACAGGCTGTATAAACTTTTGAAGCTCATCTCAGGGCAAAATAGAGATTTAAAGTGACACTGAAATCTGGTTTAAAAAATTAAAAATGTAGTAAAGTAAATAAAGTATGTATTGTTTGGTGGTTAGCAAAAATATTAGCTTGGAGCTGAGCTTTAAAATGTCATTTTTAAAATTACTAAGAGAAAAAAAAAAAAAGCTAAAATGAATAATGAATACTCTTACCCTCTCTCCCAAGTATGACTCTGGTGCCATCCAGTGCAGACTGTGAACAGATGGTGGTAATTCTTGCACATCTGCTACAACACTGTTGCTACCTGGGTTGAAGGTGACAGCTACTGTGGTCTGATCTGGTGCCTCCAAACTCCACGACCTCATGTCTACAAACTTATTATCAGAGATACATTGATTAAAATGACATTACCATAAAACAATATGATATACATTATGTTTGCAAATGACCAATCAAACCAAATACTGTATGTATAACATTCTATAAAATTAAGCAAATTCAATCATGATGGAAAATGAGAGATAATCAAAGACAACCCATACATATCCACTAATGTATCAATTAATCAGCACTAAAAGTGACCATAGGCATTAAACACCTGATGTTGTATACCTACATTTCTTGAAAAATTAGACAAAGATTGGATTGTCTATGAGGCACAGTAGAAAAGAACTGTAGGCAGTGTTAGAAATCTTATGCTGCCCCATCAGTGTTATTAGGCTTTGAGTCTTTCACATACACCTGCCGTGACTGAAATCCTTAGGCTTCTATTGCTAACCTCCTTCTGAAAATGATAGTTTCTACCTAGAGATAATTTCTGGCTGTCATGCTGATTCTTTGCTCAGAATTACTAATGGCCATGAACATTTTTAGCAAATAGTATCCAATCTGGTTGTATTCTTAAAACAATTGTGGAGCATCCTGATGATGGTGATTCTTGTTCCAGACCATACTGTAGCCAGTATATTGGTGAGGCTAGTTTCTCCACATATTTCTATATCTAGTCGACGACAGGTGACTATATTCTGCATTGTGAACAGCTCATGAAGTGGTCCTAGGCAGGCTTAGAATTATGTAACATAAAAAGATTTTTGCTCAATCTGTATTTAAAGATATAATCTCGCCTAAAACCATTGAAATCAGCAATAGCAACAATGAAATCTTCTTTCTGATTTTTTTCTAATCAGATTTCACCTTTCTTTGATCAACATACAAAATATTCTGCTTAAAAATGCATACTCTGATGCACATAAGTATTGTAATGTAAAGGTATGGCAAACAGTATAGCAAGCTCGATATATTGCTCTTAAAGTTTAAAGGTGAACTCAAGGAAAACAACTTGTGGTCCATTTACAATATTCCTGCCATAGAGCATAGTCAGATCAATGGCTTCTATTTTCTCCACTGCAGTTAAGCATTTCAATTTGGTTACTTAACAGCTCCCGGCCTACTGACTGGACAACAAAGAAGCAGCAGCAGAACATTGATTGGGTCACATTTTCCCCTATTCTGTTGGTAGTATTCCATAGCTGCTAGTTGGGTTTTCAACTGTTATGTTTTACCTTTTTCCTGTGCTTGCTGGAAGAATGGCAAACTTCTGTTGCTCCAAAACAAAAACATTTGGTACATCCTTTGGAGTTTGAAGGATCAAAATAAAATGTTCCACTCTGGCAAGCATCACATCTTGTACCTCCAATATTTTCCTGCATGTTGGAAAAGATGCAGAAAATTATTATTATGCACTTGGTCAGGTGAAATTCAACGTCTATGGCAGTCAAAGCATTCATTTTATAACTAAATAGTAGGTAGATTTGATGTTAGTGACTGGGTGTATATTGAGTAAAGTGACAAAAGCAGAATGTATAAAGTCCAGATCTAATTTTATTTGGATTCCTATATAAAAAAGCCAATACATTTCAGAGGTTCAAAGGGCCCCCCCTTCATCAGAGCTTGGTACTGTTGAAAAAATCATGATAAAAAAGGGAAAATGGTTCATCTTGTCATCTATGATGCATTATGTCTAACCGATCCCACAATTTGTAAACTATTCCTTTGTATTTTTCCTACAGGTTGTCAGGATGTATTATGTAATTCTATTATTCCTGTTTGCATACCAATAAATAAAAAAAATATAAAAAAATTAATTTGTAAAACTTTTGAGGGGTAATTAATATGATTGCAACAGAAGCCAGCATTATTAGTGTGGTCACTCCTAATGCACTCACCCTAGCTACTGCTAGTTTGAGTGGCTTGCTTTCACTCAGGAGACGGTGCAAGTTTCTATAATTTTCCTTCTTTATCAAAAGTATTCTAAATGATACATGGATATCCAGATATACAAGCTTCTTTATTTGGTTAAAACCATGCTTATGAATAATCAACAGAACACATCAAGGTAATGTATGGTATGCTGTTTCTCTAATTTTAACTACATAAAGAAGCTCTTACATCTGGGGATATGTGTTTGCAATTAATATCTTTTTGGGAGTGAAAGATTAGTGTACATGAAAAATTCATTAAAATAATTCAGTCTACTAGCAGGACAAGTTGTTGGTTTTGAACACTTACAAAATGTGACTGATGGACTCTTGTGGCACAGACATCCCAAGTTATAGATCAAATGTCCAACAAATTGCCCTAACAGCAAAGGCAGTCCTTCCAGGAAAACGTGTTATTGATACTAAACCCTGCTTTTACCCATATTCATGTTTTAATTTCTGACGGCTTTACTGAAGCCTTAAAAATGTTTCTTTGTACACTGGTGTTCTTGGATATGTATGACTTTTGCATTGTAATAATTTTTTATTGAGACAAAAAAAATTATGACCAAGAAAGAGCAGAGTAACCATCTTGCTAAATGTTAATAAATGCATCAAAAGTTTTGCTTTATCGTTCTCTATGCATATCCATTCTGCTTATCTGGAAACAGTGTGGTGGCAGATTAGTTTACAGATAGGAACACTTACACAGAGAAAGTGTTTAATAAGGTTACATTGGAATCTGCCAGCTATGACACACAACACATAAGTTTATATAAGTCTCTTTGGCAGGTCTGTATGTATATGTATGCATGGGACTAAAATACTAAATCTTGAGACTGTGAGGGTCACACTTTTGCTTCTGTCCTGACAATTTACTGTGAAGATGAAGATAATAAAGAATCAGATTGTGTGGTCAGATACAGTACCTTGCACAAGCAGACACCAGTGTGGTGATCACAGATCTGAGGCTGTGTGCCATCTGGATTGCAGTTACACGGAACACAGTCAGGAAAGCGGAAAAAAAACCTGGAGCACAACGATCACACTGCCTGCCCGTTATTCTCAGTTTACATCTGTCCAACAAATACAGAGAGTGAATTAATGACAGTTTCGACTAATTAACTAATTACAGGATAAGCTCACCTTTCGTAACATGTGACAGGTTACACCCATGCTCAGGGTATAACATATAACGATCAGACCACCCCCACCCTCCGCTTTGGCAGAGGCGGGGTTTTTTATTTGACAGCTAGCGGGGGGAGAGATGATCCCCCACTAGCTGTCAAATTTTAAAAAAAGGCCTCAGTGGGGGGTCCCAGTCCTCTGTGAATGAGAGACTACAAGTCCCGACAGCCTTAGCGGCTGCAGGCTTGCAGTACTCAATGAACTACCATGGTGCTGTGGAGTGCCATGATAGTTCATTCATTCATTCTTGTCAGTATAAATGCTATGGGCAAGCAGCTATACTGACAGATCTGCAGGAGAGCTGCATGGCACCAGAGATCTACTGATCGCTGGTGCAATGCTTTACAGGCTCCTGCAGATAAACATAATAAATGCACATTATTTTACCTGCAAACAAATGTGCATTTACTATTTTTTACTAAAAGGTGAACTTATCTTTTTAAGTATTGCATTTGTGTAGAAATGAGCCCTATTACATTTTAAATTATTCCTATAAACTGCTAGTGGCCAGTCATGGGTATCACACGATCCTGTATTACTAACACTCAGTCATACAGCCTACAGAGAGACAGATCTGCCAGTCAGGCCTTCTGAATGGCTTGATGCTGGTAGTGCATCATCATGTATGCCTACTGTTGAGCTTTCTCTAGACAATGAGCACAGAAAGGGGTATGTTGTGGACATGGGCTAACAAAGTAACACTTATCACCCCCTTCAGCCCCCACCCTTTCATTCCTGCATTGTCTTTAAAGTTAACTGACTTAAACTTTATTGGAGTATTGTCCATATTTGTGGCACCGAGTGGTTGGAAGGGTTACTTGATGCTCAAGTCCTGAAAGACTACTGTTGAAAGATACAGTTACTTGATGCTCAAGTTCTGATTAAAGTTTTAACATTGGTATTGGTCTGTGTGTTTAAAGTTCTGGTATAATACATTTAAAGGTTATCATATTCTGTTTTAAACCTAAATAAAACAGATGTGGCTATAATTTTCTACAGTTCAGTTTCCTGGTTTTCTTTATTATCCTGATTGATCAGATGGTTACTGAGTGGGTGGTGTTAGGGTAGTGGTGTGTGGGAATGTACAATCCAGTCCAAGCAGGTCTTTTTGTGGAGTCTGATTATAGCAGAGAGACAGAGTATTACCCAAACAAGTGAAATCAGGTGTGCTGTTTCTATTCCATCTCTGAAAGGTTGTGCATTGCTCTTCTGTTTTGTTTTTTTGTTTGTTTGTTTTAATTGTTTTGCCTATTAATGGTATTGCTATGAAGGGGGTTTCACAGTTACAATGGTGCAGCAGGGGTTTTAGCCTCCATTCACATATGAGTGTGAGTATAGTTAGGCGATTTAGAGACTTTTTTGGCTCATTTGTATGCACAGTTTTACGCTAGACTCATACAACAGCAGAATTGCATGCATTTGGTCCCATACTTTTACTTAGGAGCACCTGAAAATGCATGTAAACATGCATTTTTCAAGTGTTTTTCAGATGTTCCCGTTACCATCTATAGGACCAAAAATGTGTGATTCTGCCAAAAAAAGCTCATATTCTTTTTCAAGCTTCATGTGAAAGGCAACAAGCGACACAACACTCAAGTGTGAATTGAGAATATCTGGATTCCTTATCTTGACCGTTGTCACGCTTTGGGAATTGCTCTGCAAAACATTGAGATGTGAATGAGGGCTACGTGGGGCTTGTTCACAGATTATTATTGATAGTAGTTAGATTTACAATGTTCACTTACAATAATACTATGGGGGAAATGGACAATTAGACTGCAGTCCTGTAATATGTCCACCCAAGACAGTTTCCTTCCACTATTTATGCACACAAACATTTCTCTGCATAAAGTCTACTCTTATATGTGCCTCCTCAATATATGTGCATCAGGAGGCACTACTTAGAGCCCTGGTCGCCAACGTCCACTGTTATGCAGTCTGCTGTGTCTACCTACTGGCTGAGACTGAAGCTTTGACTGACGAGGGAAGATTATATGACTGGTGAAGGGAGGTTCTTTGAAGGGGGAGGTTCTATAACTGATGGATGGAGGTTCTGTGACTGATAGAGGGAGGTTCTGTTTTCTGTGACAGATGAGGGGAAGTTCTGTGACTGATGAAGAGAGGTTCTGACTGATAAAGAGAAATTCCAGAACTGACAGGGAGAGGTTCTGTGACTGATTATGGGAGGTTCTGTGACTGATTAGGGGAGGTTCTGTGACAGATGAGGGAAAGTTCTGCAACTGTTGTTAAATTGAATAACCACTTGTCTACTAAAGTACATTTATAAATGGCTGCTGCTGCAGCTGTGAGCATGATGGTGGCTTTAAGAGCCGGCAAAGGGATTTCTAATAAAAGCAATCGGGCAGCTCTAGAACTTTTATGGGGCTTTCAAAGGGGCACCCCGACTCGCCTGCCAGTGGTTCTACTGTTCCACCAGGCAGCCCGGGACCACTGGAAACTGCTTCCCCGGTGAAAGCAGGAGGAACTCAGGAAATGGATTTTCCCCCAATCCCTCTTGTGACTAATGACCTTGGAAGCGATGTGTATTACGTCACTTCCAGGGTCACAGCTGTCATTCCTTGGCTAGTGTACCCAGGATGCAGCTATTCCAGCACAATATGTACTGGAATAGCTCTATTTGAAGGCAGGAGAGAAGAGACATTTGGGTTCTAACAGACCCCAATGTCTTCAGAAAAAGTACCTGTCACCTTCCCATGCTATCACAAAGGGAGCTTGTTGCCAACTTGTGATAGCAATAAAAAAAAATACAAATAAATACAAATAATTACAAAAATAATTAACTTAAATCATTTTTAAAAATGCAAAGCGCCCCTGTCACCCCCCACACACACACCTAATAAAAAAAGAGCAGCGTAGGTTGAGCATGTGTATGTAAATATCAATTGCACCACACATGTGAGGTAAATATAAATCTATCTAGTTGGCTTTAAATACCATACTCATGAAAGCAGCACACTGCAGTATATAAAATATGTGACTTACCTGCACTGTCCACTTATCCCATCGCACTCTGGGTTGGATGACTGTATTATGCCTATGGGTAAACAGTTGCACCCTTCACATCCCAAAAGAGGGTGGTAATTGAATGACTTTTGTTCACACACTTCACATAAAGGTCTGACTGTATGAGGAGGACAGATGCATCTGCCAGTTACTTCATCACAAAGACGACGACCACAGTTACATGCTGAATAAACAAAGAAATCTGCTTTACTCTCCATGCACAAAGTACAGTATATTGAAGTCTAGGCAAATGTTAAAAAAAGGAATGGGGTATGGATGTTACAATGGATCTTTGAAACTGTTGTTGAGCATGTGTGCATGATAAAAAAAATTAAAATATAACAAACAGCAATTTTTCTTTCATCTGGATAGAGTGGTGAGAGGGTAGAACAACTATCAGATTTTTATTGGTGTTTGTGTTTCTGTTGGGAGATTAATTCTCTCTAATTGTCTAATTGTCCCAACCATCAATGTCACCAGAATTGAAGATGCAGGTAAATCCACATCTTTAAATTGCCATCAGACTGGATAGAGCCTGGCGCCAGCCTTTTCTCCACTTTGCTGGGGTCAAACAGTGGCTCAAGGGGACCATGGTCTATGAGAAACATCATCAGCATCATGAAGGCCAAGGCCATGAGAAACATTACATTTCTGAAGATTTGTGACCCATGGATTGCCTTTAATGATCAATTGGGCCCGCACTGCTCTTTGCTGTCTATATGACTGCTCATGCAGTCTGATTGGGTTATACAGCAGACTGGATTATGTGAGAAACCTCTCTTCTTCCCTCTTCCCCTTCTACTTCCCCAGGCAATTTCTTTTCTCTTTTATCTCTCCCTCCTCCCTCCCAACCACAAGCCAGTGTGGAATATTCCTTACTCTACCCCCTTTCCTCTTCTGATGTCTTGTGTTCTTTTTTGGCATCTCCCCCCCCCCCTTCCTTCCGTTCTTGCACAGGGCAAAGTTTTGCTGGACAATGTGCTCCTCTACTGGGAAATCTTATGTGCTATGATGAGGCCAGCTCTGTTCGGACATATTTGTTATTGTGCACCTGGCTCATTTATGCCTTACCTCACTCCCAGTATTGCATCTTCATGTGCAAACAGATTTGTGTATTTTGTACAAAAACCTTACAAAACATAATAAAATCTTTTGTGAAATAAGCTTCCACTAGAACAGGAATAGAGGGGAAATCTTCCAATGAGGACACTTGTTACTCAGACAGCTTCACACAGACGCAAAAAGGACAATAAAACCAGACAGTTGAAAATTTACAAAAATATGATTTCCTGTCACTTTTGCTAATTAATTCCTGTAATGCTATCCACATGATTTGCAACAATCATTTACAGTGTATTGAAAAAGTATTCATACCCCTTGACATTTTCCACATTTTGTCATGTTACAACCAAAAACGTAACTGTATTTTATTGGGATTTTATGTGATAGACCAACACAAAGTGGCACATAATTGTGAAGTGGAAGGAAAATGATAAATTGTTTTCAACATTTTTTACAAATAAATATTTGAAAAGTGTGGCGTGCATTTGTATTCAGCCCCCTTTACTTTGATCCCCCTAACTAAAAATCTAGTGGAACCAATTACCTTCAGAGTCAGACAATTAGTAAATAGAGTCCACCTGTGTGTAGTATAATCTCAGTATCAATACAGCTGTTCTGTGACGCCCTCAGAGGTTTGTTAGAGAACATTAGTGAACAAACAGCATCATGAAGGCCAAGGAACATCCCAGACAGGTTAAGGATAAAGTTGTGGAAAAGTTTAAAGAAGGGTTAGGTTATAAAAAAAATCCCACGCTTTGAACATCTCACGGAGCACTGTTCAATCCATCATCCGAAAATGGAAAGAGTATGGCACAACTGCAAACCTACCAAGACATGGCTGTTCACCTAAACTGACAAGCCGGGCAAGGAGAGCATTAATCAGAGAAGCAGCCAAGAGGCCCATGATAACTCTGGAGGAGCTGCAGAGATCCACAGCTTAGGTGGGAGAATCTGTCCACAGGACAACTATTAGTCGTACACTCCACAAATCTGGCCTTTATGGAAGAGTAGCAAGAAGAAAGCCATTGTTGAAGACATAAGAAGTCCCGTTTGCAGTTTGCAAGAAGCCATGTGGGGGGCACAACTAATAGGTGGAAGAAGGTGCTCTGGTCAGATGAGACCAAAATTTAACGTTTTAGCCTAAAAGAAAAATGCTATGTGTAATAGAAAACGAACACTGCCCATCACCCTAAACACACCATCCCCACTGTGAAACATGGTGGTGGCAGCATCATGTAGTGAGGATGCTTTTCTTCAGCAGGGACAGGGAAGCTGGTCAGAGTTGATGTGAAGATGGATGGAGCCAAAGGGCAATCTTAGAAGAGAACCTGTTAAGAGTCTGAAAAAGACTTGAAACTGGGGTGGAGGTTCACCTTAAAGCAGGAAAACGACCCTAAACATACTGCCAGAGCTACAATAGAATGGTTTAGATCAAAGCATATTCATGTGTCAGAATGGCCTATTCAAAGTCCAGACCTAAATCCAATTGAGAATCTGTGGGAAGACTTGAAAATTGCTGTTCACAGACGCTCTCCATCTAATCTGACAGAGCTTGAGCTATTTTGCAAAGAAGAATGGGCAAAAATGTCACTCTCCAGATGTGCAAAGCTAGTAGAGACATACCCAAAAAGACTTGTAGCTGTAATTGCAGCGAAAGGTGGTTCTACAAAGTATTGACTTAGGGGGCTGAATACAAATGCACGCCATACTTTTCAGATGTTTATTTGTAAAAACATTTTGAAAACCATTTATCATTTTCCTTCCACTTCACAATATTGTGCCACTTTGTGTTGGTCTATCACATAAAATCCCAATAAAATACATTTATGTTTTTGGTTGTAACATGACAAAATGTGAAAAATTTCAAGGGGTATGAATACTTTTTCAAGGCACTGTATTTGGCAATGCCAATGATAACCACTAATCTCTGCTGAGTAACATTTGTGACAACCCAGGTCATATCTGGAACTCATATTAATTCAGTAATTTTTAGCCAAGATCAATGCAAGCCAACATATGCCAGCATGAAGTTCAAAACCAAATTGAGTGACATACAAAAAGAGGATGATAAAATCAATCACTAATATATATATATATGTGTGTACCATTACATAATAGCAGCCTGGGACATGGAAACCAAAGATGGTCAACTAGGAATACATGTTAATTCAGTGTTCCAGTTATCTAGTCTTGTTCATGCTGCAGCTGCTTTCAATGGCTTTGCAGACAGTTCTGACCCCTGGCAAGCATCCTGCAAAGAAGGATTTTTAACAGCATGTATTGGGCCAAATGACTCACACATCTTGGTTGGGAAGCTATGTGTTGCTGTGCACTGCGCTGGCTACATAAAGAGTCCAGGCAATTGCTTCTTACGTTTATTGTTTCTGCTGATTGCTGTCCAAACAAAATACTGATGTTGTAAAGGATTACTAAACTTAAACCGCCAAAGTTGGTTAGAATCTCGGCCAGTTCAGCAAGGAGTTGACGAGATTCGAACCATGTATGGGCAGGTTAATTGTACACAAGTCGATCCATTGATCGACTTGGGTAGAACCAGCATGTCAGATTTCTAGAATGTGATTTTTGTCAGTGGCTAAAGCTGCTAGCAATAATCACTGTGTCCCCCCCCCCCCCCACTGGGAGAACACAATAGCTCCATGGAAGGGATTCCCCCATCAAAACTGATTGTGTAGATGGGGGAATTGAGCGATCTTCTTTCCTACAACCATCTATGGCCTGCTGAAGGCAGTGTACAAGTAGTGGCTGCAATTTTTTTTCTTTTTTTAGGCTAAGAACATTTTCAGTAAATACAGAAAATACCTGTTGACCTTGCCAGAAATTTAAAGCCCTTGTCACTTTCTGCGAGCTGATCTTTGAAAGCAAAAACAATATCTTATCTTTATTTTGTAAACTAACAATTTCTCCATTCCCCTTGTAATGTGATGGACAAAGGCAGATATGTTTGAAGTTCAGCGTGGGTGGCAGTCTTGGGTTTCTCCATAGATAAACTGGAGGAGAAAGCAGAGCCATCCAGGGAAAGGAAGTGTTGCAAAAATGACTAAAAAAAGAACCACATGAGCTACCACATCTCCATCTCAGGACCAATGTATACCCTAAGTACCAACCATGTGTGGATTTTCTAATCTCACCTTCTGCCTGGAGTGTGTCACATATAGCTTCATCCAACACAATGTTTTGAAGACTCTAGTAGCTTACAGCACAAAAGGCAATAAGTCAATGAGTGAATACCACCCCTTTCAAATGGATGTTATTCATTCAGTCACGTTTTTCAAAGAAAAAATGGATTCAGTTTACATCAGTTTTCACATCCATCTTCAGTTCAGTTCACTTTACATTCGCTTACATCAGTTTTCACTTCAGTTCAGTTCATTTCAGTTTACATTAGTTTATATCAGTTTAGTTCAGTTTACATCAGTCTACATCCATTTTTTGCATCATTTTTTCTGAGTTTTTGCAGAGACAAAATTATAACCAAAAAATGTTTCTTTAAAGGTGAATAAATTATTATTCACCTTTATATATCACCTTGGTTTCCAAGGATTAGATAGCTGCTGTCATGTTTCACATGACTGGCATATTGACTGTCATATGCCTTTAAGTGTTTCTGTGTTTTGTTTCTGTCCCTCCCTTTCCTTTGGTTTAGTTAATTCTGTATAGATAGCCCTCTCCCTTTCCCAGAAATGCATTGCAGCTCTAGCCTCATGTCACGGAGCAGGACACATTATGATCTTTTGACCTATGGAATGTTCATTGTTGTAAGATTCTCTCAGTTTATGGAATAAACTTCACAAGATCTACAAGGTGTCTTATCGATTGAGTCACTGACTGTGGTATCCAACTGAGGTTGAAGTTATCGCTATCTCATCACAACTGTAAGTTACAGAGGTCACACTATCAATGCTTAGATTGGAGAGACAGAACAGCTGCTCTTTTTTCTCCCCTCTTCTGCATATATACACGTCCAATGGCGCAGTCCATCATTTATATACAAAAAATGTTTCTTGCCTAAAGTTTATTAAGTATGGCCCCTTTCAGACGTGCGCTCCGTTTGTCCTGGTGATCATCCGTTTACATCTGTTTACATCTGCCAACATCTGTTTTTTTGAATGGATCAAAGCCCTATTTTTATTCCATTAGAAAAAACGGGACGGATGAAAAACATATGTAAAATGGACAAACAGTTCATTTTTGCATCCGTTTTTGCACTGGTAGTGGATGTAAAAAACTGATGAAAACTGATCCATTTTTTCTTTGAAAAAACATGACTGAACTGATCCTAACAGCACATAAATGGAATGCATGCAAACAGATGGCATTTGTTTACATGTGTTCCATTCCAACAGACCTGGAACTTGGCTGTTCCATTTAAAAAACAGACCTGAATTGGCATGGATGTAGGCGGATGTAAACAGATGATCTTCTGTTTACATCTACCCACACATAGACATACATTGTGGTTCAGTCTGGATCTGTCTGAAAAACTGACAGATGGATCTCAACTGAACGCCCATATGAAACGGGCCTTAATCTAGGCAGTTCAACCCTTTAAAACCGAACACATATGAAATATACATGCTGTGTTGCTAATTACATGCTGGTAAAAAGCATAGTGAATCTAACTACTACCTTAATTATGCAGGCCATAGATGGGTCGAAAATCGGCCGATTTTTCGGCCGAAAATAAAATCGGCCGATTTTCGGATCGTTAGTGGGCTCTTTGTTCGGCCGTTTTTTTTTTTTTTTTCGGTATTTTGGCCATTTTTTTTTGGTAAAGTTGGAAAAAAATCGGTCGATTTTGCCGATCGGCCAATTTTCGCGGCAATTAGTGGGCAAATCGGCCGATTTTTTACCGATAAAAAATCTGCAAGAGGAAGACAAAAAGAAGAGGAAGAGGATGTAGAAGAGGATGAAGAAGAAGAAGAAGAAGAGGAAGAAGAAGAGGATGAAGAAGAAGAAGAGGATGAAGAAGAAGAAGAAGAGGATGATGATGAAGAAGGAGAAGAAGAAGAGGATGAGGATGAAGAAGAAGAAGAAGAGGATGAGGATGAGGAAGAAGAAGAAGAGGATGAAGAAGAAGAAGAAGAAGAAGAAGAAGAGGATGAGGATGAAGAAGAAGAAGAAGAGGATGAGGAAGAAGAAGAAGAAGAGGACGAGGATGAAGAAGAAGAAGAAGAAGAGGATGAGGAAGAAGAAGAAGAAGAAGAAGAAGAAGAGGATGAGGATGAAGAAGAGGATGAGGATGAAGAAGAAGAAGAAGAGGATGAGGATGAAGAAGAGGATGAGGATGAAGAAGAAGAAGAAGAGGATGAGGATGAAAAAGAAGAAGAAGAAGAAGTAGGATGAAAATAAGAGGAATTCCAGTCTAGCAAAAAGTGTCTCTGCAGAGAGCTCCGCTATTTCTTTGACAGTTCTCCGACAGTTCCTTGACATTTACAGTGGTTGCAACATTGTATCTATTTGTTTCCGAATAAAAACATCTGTATCCTAAATGGAAACAAATAGATACAATGTTGCAACCGCTGTAAATGTCAAGGAACTGTCAGAGAACTGTCAGAAATAGCAGAGCTCTCTGCAGGGACACTTTTTGCCGGCTGTAGATGGGATGAAAATCGGCCGATTTTTTTTACCATTTTTTTTTTGGTGGTAACGTCGGCCACTTGAACGACCGATTGTTTGTTTTTTTAAAAGAAAAATCGGCCGATTTTCGACCCATCTATGGCCTGCATTAGCCACTGAACCTATGTAACCCATAAGTGTTTGGTTTTAAAATAGTATGGTAGAAACTCTACATACCCTACATACCTCCTATCCATTCTAAATTAAAACAATTGGATACCTTTAAACTCTTCTTCGTGTGAGTACACATTTGGCCATATTGATAAAAAACTTCAGTGTTCAAATAAGAAATGTAATAAAGGAGAATTAAACCAGTGGGATCCGCATTGAAAATTACAAGTGCTCCTCTTGTTCCCCTCACACTACAGGCAACGGCTTCGCCACTGGGCGAAGTGAAGTGAAGCTACACATTTCTGTTCTTTTCTTCAGAGCGTGGTCTTTCAGGAACAGTGCTATAACCCATGAATATGCAGGTCTCAGAAAATGGCTGCTGAAGTCTGCAAACAAGATCATTTTTCTGTCCACTTGTATAGATATGATGACAAAAATTTCCTTCCAAGCAAATACACATTGACATGAAGGTGAAAATTATTTCTGCTATTGCATTTGCAAATTGACTAAAACCTGACGCATTACAAAGCATATAAAGTTAAACATACGAGCATATTCCTAAATAAATATCTACAAGCTAAAGATACAAAGAAGAATTGAAAGTATGGATATGCATTATCTCAGCTTTGGACAATGTAGCATGCATATACCATACCTGTGGGATCCCTCTAGAAATTGAAAATCACTGTAGTAGACACCGCTACTTCAGCATTCTCTGATTAGATAAGGTGGAGAGCGTGACATTGCCCTCCCATCTCTCCACCTTGTCCAATCAGAGAAGATTTTGTGTTTATTGAGAAAATACAAAGCAATTCCTGAATGGCGCCTGTTCCAGGCAGCCAACCTCGTCTGTTCAGAATGCAGCAGGGCAGCCAATTGACATGGGAACCGGAAGCTAATGGACATCACTGTAATAGCAATGTCTGCTACAGTGATTTCCAGCTTCTAGAGGGATCTTACTGATATGGTAAATGCATAGTTACAGTGGTCCAACCTGGGCCAAAGTAACTATGTTAAAAATGACACACCTGGAATTCTTCTTTAAAGCCTTGCAACTATGAACCTAAGCAGCATAAGCCTGAATGATTATATATAAAAAAAAGTAACTAAAAGTTCAACTAAAAGTAACTAAAAGCATATATTGTGCTTAAACTTACGTCTACAGTGGGGAAATCCATAGTAGCCAGTAGCACACTGACTACATGTTCTCCCAATAACATTGGGTCTGCAGGTGCACTGTCCGCCCATAGGATTGCAGTTTGGGCTTGTGGCTCCCTCTAGGTCGCATTGGCATGGCAATGTTCCATCATTATAATAAGCAACGAGCGATCTTGCCGAATCTCTGCAGAACTCAGGTGAGGTAATTGGACTAAAAGAAAAAAAAAATGTTCAAAAGTATTTTTTACTCTTTTAGAATACAGCAATTAAGAAAATCAGGCTTATGAAATGTGCTGAATTAACAAGAATGAGATGTGAGATAATAGCTTGGATGTCTGTGATTGGTTTATATTGTAAAAACTGAAGAGAACCTTCCAGTCATTTCTCCCATTCCTGTCCAAAAGCAGAAACCATTAAGTATCTAATATTATTTTGGTTACTCAGGAATCCATCCTGTGTATGCCTCCTTGAAAATGGTGAAAGTAGTTTTGGCTTAATATTAAAGGCTTTTAACTTTGCCATCTGCCTTCCCCACTTTTTTCAGAGCACCCTTACTGGCCATGGAAGCACTCTTGTTTAACAGATGGAGGGCATACAGAGCTACCTACAGACTAAAACAATTTTGGCAACACATTAGTCAAGATCTGGCTGACAAACTATCTTCCTGATGAAAGATCATGGTGCAAACATACATAATAGTACTTGGCAAATGTTCATTCAGGTAAAGCTAAGGACCCTGCATGGTCCAAAACATGACAGCCCTAGATTGCACTGATGCAAGATGTTTCTAATAAATTGTATTTCGATGGATGTGTTGCTTCCTTATCCCTGTGGAAGGAGGGGTGGGAGGTAGGTTTAACACACTGATGCTGATCCCTTTTTTTGGAAAAACAATAGGATTGGTCAACATCTATTAATGCTAAAACAACAGGTTCACTTTAAAGTGTATGTCCAGACAAAACTTTTTATTTTAACTATTGGGTAAGTAGAAAATGCTTAGAACCCATGTTAGGTTTTTTTTTACTGCTACCTGGGGTTCCGTTAGATGTATCCCCACTTCTAGTCCAGCTGACAACATTTTAAGGGAACCTTCCAAAGGCAGCTCAGACAAAATGCTTTTCTTCAGTGGAGTAGGCAAGGCTAATACTCCTGTTAGATTTTTTTTTTGTCTCTGTCAATGTCCTTTTAGATTTAATATTTTTCCTGTCTGGTGAAACCATTGACAGCTGTATAAGAAGTGAGAGTAAATCTTTCTAATGGAGCCCCAGATGTCAGTAAAAGCCCTGCAAGGGATATAATCCTCACTCAGAAACTGGCTGCAAGAGCTGCACATTGTTACAGTCCTTTCACTCCACTGCAACTCAGCAAGGTAAAGAAGTGTGGTATACCCCCATGTGTCAATGTTGGACCAATGACCAAACACCAGTGCTGTCACTTGACAGGACAGACTGTGAGTCACATGCTGCTCCATACTCAGAAGTACCAGTAATTTTCTTCTCTCCCAAAAGAATAACAGAGAAGCAGAGGTTCATGAAAGGCGAGCTTATGATGCTGGTTGGGTTGGAATTAAAGCATACCCATTGCTTTGCCTTAAATGGGAAAGGTACAGATTTTCTCTAAGGACCATTATCTAGAACACTAGTTGCACAGACCAGAAGACACGGACCTGCAGAAGACATTCTGTGAAACCTATGAAAAAGCGGCATACATCATTATGGCAACAAAACAAAAGCTGTGGAAATCCCCCACACTTAACTTCACTGAGGTCGAGGGCCACATTTAGGGCACATCTATCAATGAGAAACTAACTGCCAACCTGAACGACATCCATGACAATTTCTTAAAATCTGACAACCATTGATCACCTCCTATCAATCCAGACTACCAAATGCCTACTGGACATGTAGAACAGATCGGAATACTTTGCTAAATACGGTAGTCCCTAGAGTACCTTACCCCTCCCCACCCCCACTTGCTGACCTACCCCTCTTCTTAACCCCTCTTCTGCTTCCATATGCCCCCTCTCTCCTTCTCCAACCTTACTTTTGTTCTAGGCCTATTCTTTGTCTAACTCTCTCCTCCTTTAGGGCCTTATCTGCTAAACCTCTTTTCTTTCTATTACCTTTCTTTTCACTTCCTCTTTAAACCTATTAACTACTCCACTATGAAAAACAGAATGGAATCCTGATCTCTCTTCACCCATTATATTCCTAAAAGTATTTTACCAATGATTTTATTTTATGTTGATACTGCTGACTACTGTCTATTTCCTTTTGGCACACTAAAGTCGCACAGGATGACAAATTATCAGCCCCTGATATTTACAGATAGTTGTAAAAATCACTGATTTTTACAAACTGTCCATAAATGTACTGTCTGGCAACCCTGCTCTGTCTCGTGAGCAATCTGTTATGATCTGATTCATATAATGTGTCTCTTTCCACATTAATTGTACAGCAATTTGTCTAATATTCACAAGGTGGCAGCACTACACACTTCGCACTGAGCTCGGGAAATATCTGTGCACTTCTAAGATACAGAACCTGAACTATAAACACCATTTTAATTTATGTATGCTTTTTTCTAATGCTACGAGGGGCGTTCAAATAAAACCGGGACTTTTGAGTTTATATAATGAAAGAACAAATTTCAAGGAGTGGAAACTGCATTTATTTTTTTGACATACTCCCCTGCTACATTTATACACTTATCCTAGCGTTTAGCTAATGCCTGGAAAGGTTTGGCATTGAAAGATTTGTCAGTACGCCTGTACTATCCTAGGACAGCCTGGTTCACTTTGTCATCAGTGCTGAAATGCTGACCTCCAAGGAACTCTTTTATGGGTCCAAACACATGGAAATCACTCAGAGCAAGGTCCGGGCTGCAAGGGGGATGTGGCAATACCTCCCAGCTGAGTTGCTGTAATGTGCACGTAGAGCGGTGAGCAGTATGAGCTTGTGTGTTGTCCTGGAGAAACAGGATACCCTTAGTAATCAAACCAGGCCACTTTTTTCAGCAGACGCATATGCACATCACTAGGCACACCACAGCAATATTCACTGTTGATGGTGGCACCAGTGTTGGCTAACTTTTTGAAAATGCAAATGTTTTTGAATGATTGTTCTCACAGAAACATTCATCTCTTATGCAATTTCTCGACAGGTTATGTGTCGATCATCCAGGATCAGGTGTTTTACGAGCTGAATGTTCAGAGAAATGACTGCTGTGGGTTGGAAACCACCATGGCCGAGATCGTCACTGATGGACATACAGCCACCTTTGAAACCTTTACACCATTCAAATGCCCTACTGAGGCTGCGCATCTCATCACCATACTGTGCTTGAAGTCTTCTGTAGATATATTCACGGGTTTTATGCCTTTGTTCACAAGAAACTTCCTCACCACACATTGTTCCATGCACACACTAACACTGTTGTCTGCCACCTTAACGGTCTTTGGACTGGCTCACGACAAGTGTGCCACCTATCAGTAATAGGACACACTTGCCACTTACTACTGCGTGTAGCATCCCTTTTTCTACCTGTAAAAGTCCCAGTTTTACTTGATCACTCCTTGTAACTTGCTTTTCTTTAGCTAATTAAGTAGATACAAAAGGAATTAATCCTGACTTTTTTTTTAGTCAAAATTCTACTTAACGTCTTTTGTTCCATGTTAAAAAATAGGTCCTTACACAATTACTTTTACTTCACAGTGTAAAACTCCACACATTGGGTCATATTGAATCACCTAACTGTACTATAGTTAACAAACTTAACTCCGTCTTCCAGCTCAATATCCCACTTGATCCTAAGTATTGTATTTTAGGTATCCTGGAGGAAGTAGAAGCTCAGGCATTTACAAAGGAGTGATATCCAGGGCTCACAAATTAATCCTAGTGCACTGAAAGCTTCATGAACTATCCTCACTAACAGAATGGGCATATTGGAGGCATACTTAGATTAAAACATTATATACAGTATATCTTCATAGAAGATGTCCAGGTAAATATGAAAAATGATTGGCAATTTGGCTGGATGTACCAGGTCTGGATCCAATGGATTTGTTGATGGACAGACTACTAAGATGTAATGATTGTTGATGATGATGGATAGTCACTCTCACTTTCTTTTTCAATATAAGCATATGTTATATTTTCTGCTGAATTTCTCTAATGTGCTGTGCCTTATTGATGTGGACTAAAATGGAATATGTTAACGCATATGTATGGATTGCTTTAGAATTGTACAAATCTTTTAATAAAGCAGTTCATGGGTAAAAAAAAAAACAGGTTGGTAACAAGCTGTTGCAGACTGGAATCAAGCTGAAGAGTAGTTGAATAACACATCAAACACTGATAACAAATGGTTGCAGGTTGGAATCAAGCATAAGCATAGTCAAGAAACAAGCTAAAGGTTGGTAACAAGCAGCTGTGGAGATAAAGACAGCAACAGGTATGCAAAGGAGCAAGATATCAGCTGGAGAGAGCACAATAATCTGGCAAACAGGAAGTGCAAAGGAATGGCTTAAATAAGAAGTTCATAGTAGAAGCAAGGAGTTCAAGATTCACCAGAAACAAGGAACAAGGCAAGAGTATTCAAGGGATCAGAAAGGATGCTGTCCTGCATCTCAGGTGGCTCAGCAAGAAGAGTTACTGCCAGAAGGGTTCAGATCCCAGCCCTGACAGCAACTTAACTATCAGCACTGGTGATGTCCCCAAAAATGTTTCAAGTTATTGTCAGCTTGGTTGACGTCTTTTGAATTAGCCCCATCCCCTACTGTTTTAACCAGGCTAATCTCATAATAGCTGTCTACTCTTAATTACACCCTGTGAAAAGGCATATGGTAGTAACCTGACATTGTTTTGTGTTCTCTGTTTATTTATCCCTTACTTACTGACTTAAAATCAATTGTGATTACACATACTATCACTCTACTCTTTTACCATACTTTTACATACTTCGGGATACTTTTGTTCTAAATAAAAAAATACTTGATTTTAAAAAAAGGCAACAAAGTTTACAGTGGTCCCACACTGAAAAACGTTTTCTATGTATTTACTGAAGAAAGCCCCGCTAAGGAAAACCTACCTATGTAGTCTTACAAGCCACTGATTCTGTACAAAATCTGCACCAGTCACCATGTTATGTCTTTTTATAGGTCTTATCATAAGAAATTATTCACACGCACATTTTTAAAAACAGTAAGAAATACAATTATAAATGATCCTTACTCAATATAAAAGCTGTTTTCCCCACATATATTAATAAAGTCAAAAGATTTATCCAAGGGTCTCTCTTGCAGAAGGTCATATGAGTAACTGTCTGCTGGGACCAACAGGATGGACTCCTAAAACATAATGGTACATTGTTTAAGCATCAAACTATCATATTTGATAAGGAAAAGTGCAACGGATGAAATCATATTTGAATGGTCTGAGAGCAGTAAATTAGAATCTGATTAGATGTGACAGGTTACTACACTTTGTAATAGATCTTTGCTCTTTTCTATCTTGCAGGAAGTGCATTGGAATTCCATCTCAATATTTCCACTACTGATAAACTGTGCAACTGAATTTCCTAAAATCCTGGCAATGTACGCAGTAGACTAGGAGGGTTTTTTCTGCAACAAAGGTTAAAAGATAGATAATGTCCTAACACAGCTTGGTTGTCTTTGAAGGTAAGTGCAATGTATTTTTACAGTGCAGGTTTAAGAAGTCCCCTACTGTTATGCTGAATCTATAGAAACTAGAACAAAAAAGCCTAGCTGTTGCACCTTGCCACCAATCAGGTTCCAATGGTTACTTTTGCAGGACAAATTAGGAAATTAAATATAACATTATTAGGGGTTTATTGAGCAAACATTTTCTTTGCTCCATAAATGAGTAGCTGTTTTGAATGTATGTCAAGTATTCCCAATACAACAGAGGCAGTCAATAGCAAGCTATTAAAATGGGCACATTACATCCAAATCAATCAATAGAGCTGCATACACATCAGCAGAACTATTGGAAAAAGGAAAAAAAAACTAATTCAGACACAAATTGTCCTGCATCTCTATCCAATAAGCACACATAAAATACTTAAGATAAACAAAAATCTGTGTATGTGCAAAAACCTCCAATGGTCATGATTTATTTATCAAATGCGATCCCAATCCTCCTCCTGTCCCCCCGACAGCGATCTTGACTCTTCTTCTTCTTCATGTGTCCCCATTGCAAGCCGGTTGCTATGGAGGCATATGGTGTGTGCTCGGTCCTGAGCTGTGTGTCTATGGAGCTGAACTCCATGGAATCACACAGTGGGGCTTAGTCCCGAACCCCACGTCCTCCTCACTGCATTTGATTGATAGCAGCAGGAGTCAATGGATTTTGCTGCTGCTTGAGTCCTGGATCTCTTCTCCCCTCTCTTACCCTTCACACAGGGAAAGGGGAGGACAGAGAATTAGAAAATGTTTTTTACCTTAATGCAAGCAATACATTAAGGTAAAAAACGTTTTTTACTTAGTATCACTTTAAGCTGCAATAACATTTAAGGTGTACTAAATGGTCCTTAAAGTATCTAAACCCAAAAACAAAATGTAATATATTGCATCTTTCCAGTCCTTAGATGTAGTGGCTGCATTTGTGTTCTTTTTTCAGGCTTTTTTCTCTTAATTTTAATCTAATAAGCCTGCAAATAACACACTTTTTGTCCTGGTTATGCTCATTTATCCACTGTATCTGTGCAAAGAGCCATGGTCAAACAGGCTGGACTGCAAACATGAACAAGAAAGTTCATATTTTAAGAAATTACAAGGATACTGAATTTCTGGCAAGCTCATCATATTTTCTGTGCTTTAAATAGGAAAACAAATGAAGCCACTACACTGAAAGACTTGTAAGCTACAATATACTTGTACATTTACATGTTGATAGGATAGATATGCTGTAAGTCATGCAAATTCTAATGACATTTGATACTACTAAACGAGAATGCACTTTAATATGCTTTAAAGGCACTTTATTGTGGTTTAGGTACAAGTGCAGCTTGATGAACTCTAATAAACTCACCAAAATCAGCAGCTTATCTGGAGGAGCTGTCACTGTCACTGACAGGTCTGGGTTAGTGACATCAAGACCAATACGATTACCGGCAACCACCAATTCTCGGCAGCCAAACACATGAGGGCAATATGAAGCATTGAAAGTACCTGTGGAAAATGAAAACCTGCTCTTGACTCTTATAGAAGATATAGATTACAGCACTTACACATTTTTGTATAACAGCTATACCTGAGTACTGTGCTCCCCCATTCACTATGACTGATACAGGAAATGTAGGGTTTTCAGCCTGGTAGTAATGGACGATGAAGACATATCTCCCTGTATGTGGTATTCTTCTCGACAAAGTGATGTCATTCTGTGTGTTTGGTAGATAATAACATAAGAAAAATACACATATTTGGCTTAACATTTCAGTTTACATTTCTCACCGGGCAGAGTTTCCTTTACTTCCTGTCCCTGTGACACCAGGACAAAAATGTTTTTGTTCAAGTTGAGCTTAAAAGTCTTGTCTCCCCTCTCCAGTTTTTCTACACCCCCTACCCCTTGCCTCTGGTACCTTATACCCTTTTTCCTAGCTCTTCCTTCACGTCCCCTTTCCTTGTCTGACCCTACATATTTTGAAAACTACTCATACATTGGATGTAAGATTTTCAAATTAATTTCCAGTTCACAAACATATTAACCTTTGGGTGGTGGATACCACCACTGTACTGTGGGTCCTTTAGCACTCCTTTAGAAGAGCTAATGCATGCTTTTATGAATTGATTAGATGTTACATTGTCTCTGGCACTTGCACTAGACTCTCTGTAGTTCACCTTTGTTCTGTCTGCTGTTGCTAGACCCTGGCACCCAGGGCACATGCCTCAGGTCTTCCACTGAGTGACCCAGATATGGAACAGATACATTCAATTCATTATACAGGTTTTGAGCAGTTTATATTTTATCTAGTTTTCAATCCACATTATTTATTTTGTCATCAAAATGTATCATTACAGCTTTTAGACCAATTCATTTTTCAGTTATAATTTGGATTCAAAGTGGTCATCATGGTATTCTACCATTCTCTCAACATTTTGCTCTATGTGTCCAAAGGTGACCCTGGTCTATTAAGACCCTAGAAACACCCTTGTGTCCCTCTATACACTGCTTTATCTCTGGAGTACAAATCTTTGGTGTTAATAAAGATTAAAAAAAGGCTTTGTTTGGTTTAATAATAAGTTGGTATCTGAAGTTGCTAGGATTACTGTTCATAAAACTGCACAAGGCAAGGACAGCTAAACTCTTCAATAATTTTAATGGATGCCTTTCAAGTCACTAGAAATTAACTGAAATGAACTGTTTATTTTATAAATTAATTAATGAGCACCATAAAATGAAGGAAACAAGTTTTTTCTGAAATTCTTAACAAGGCAATACATGTATTGTAGTATTTTAAAACATTTCCAGTTCTACTTTATAGCAAATGAGGTACCTGTGGTGATTGTAGGTGTACTCTGCTGCCTGAGTGACCTGGAAGCCCTGGTCCTGGGACATGTTCTTGCACTATGGGTCTCTGTCCATTAGAATAAACAGTGTCTTTGACAGAGTCCAGGAACAAAGCCAGAGGTGGTGTTTCATAGACTGAAGAATGAATACACGATGGGCTACAAAAGAAACAAATGATTACCACCATTGCCTAGTGAATCAGTGTCAACTTTAAGTTTTCAGATAAATGCTAAAATTATAGAAAGATTAGAAAGATATATTAATAAATGACCCTATGGATTAAAAATAGACCGAAGAGTAACAGACGGTTAGCATTATTGCAGAATAAGTGCCGCCCATTGGAAGATTTACCCTTTATTGTTGTCTGTAAAAAAAATATTGATTTTCCCTCAGTCCCTGTCCCAATGACAGTAGTCACCTGGACAAATGAAGTGAGTGAATCTCCCTGGTGGGGGGGAAAGACTGCAATAAATACCTGATAGGGGGTTCTAATCCGTCACCACTCTATGCAAAGCGGTTTATGGCTTTAGATACACTATATTGCTACTTGATGAAATAGTTTGAAAGCAGACCTTCAATTAACTAAATACTGTATAGGTAAATTCAATGTCCTTTATTCTGCATTATTAAAACTAGAAACTGGTGTCATTTAAAGCGGAGCTCCACCCAAAAGGGGAAGTTCCGCTTCAGGTCTGCTCCCTATTAGGGATTGGCACCTTTGGGGGGCCGGGGGGAGCGGATACCCGCTCCTACTTCCGGTCCGATCGCCTAAGCAATCGGAAGCGGAAGGTGTCCTTCCTCCCTCCCTCCCTGTAGTCTTTTGGGACACATGACAGGTCCCAGAAGACTACAAAACCATTCATGAACCACAGCGCTACTCGCGCACGTGCAGTGGGTACCCGGCTGTGAAGCCGCAAGCTATCACAGCCAGGTGCCCACACTGAAGATGCCAGCCTCCTGGAATACAGGACGGCCGGTGAAACGGGCTGCGGGGGACACACCACGGGACCAAGGGACAGGTAAGTGGCTGTTTTTTAAAAGCCAGCAGCTACAGTTTTTGTAGCTGCTGACTTTTATTTTTTCACAGCGTCAGTGGAACTCGGCTTTAAGTAAGCATTTCTACCACAACAGATGAGTTTCATGGTTCTGGATAAACCAGCACAGGGTGAATGGGTCATATGAATACAGCTTTAGGAACAGTTGTCTGCCTATTCAGATTTTGATTGTAAAATAAAATTATTCAATACTAAAAAGAGCTCACTCTGTACATTTACCTTTGTCCTTGAATACGCCCATACGCAGCAATACAGTGCACCTTGGGTTCTGCATATTCAATAGAGAACTCTTCAATGGGAACAACACATACTGAGTGCTGAAATACAAATGTAGAAAATACTATGAAAAACAGAGAGTGAAAGTAAAACAAAGTTAAAATGCACATCACAAAACAGCTGTCAGTGGTTGAAGACTGTGACTACCTACTGAGGTCGGCAAATGGTGTTCTGAACTAACACTGACCCCAGCCAAGGTCACCTAGTGGGGCAGAGCTAAACACCACCTACTGTGCACTGAAGATAAAAGATAAGTCCAGATTATTGTACTACTACAGACAACATTTTACCTTAATGCATTCATAGTATTAAGGTAACCCCCCCGTACATGTGCTACCCCTCTGTGCCCAAACAATTACCTGCTAAGCTTGCCACCACTGCCACCCCGGGGATCAATCTGCACCATTCCCAAATTTCCTTGTTCCTTGGGAGAAGAAGGGAGCAGGAGTGTGGATTGCTGTGCATTGTGTGTTTCTATGGATGCACACAGCTCGTCTCAGGAACTTGATGGGAATGTGCTCCATATCATCCCGCTAGCTGAAGGAGACAGCTGTTAGCAGGGAGGATGGGACAGCAGCCAGGGACCCCCAGAAGAAGAATAAGGAACACATTTATAGGGTTAGGTCACCTTTACAAATGTCTCATCTGTAAAGGTGACCTAACACTGAAACCCCTCCCCACCTTGCACCCAACCTACGGTCCCTGCTGTACTTACCTCCTGCAATCCTGAGCTGTCAGGGCTCCTGCAAGACACTCCTCCAGTCCAGGAATTTGAAATCCCTGCTGCTTTCTCTCCTCTCCATCCAGCGCTGCAAAGACGGACCAGATTGATTCTGATTGGTCATCACTGTCCAATATCAATTTAAGCTTGTAAGATCCCTGTGTAACTTTGTTTCAGAATGGCAACAGGTATTTATTCTATCCCAAAGAGCTGAAATTTGGCTGCCTACCCACAAATACTTATTTTAAGGGCATTGTACATGGAAATGGGCAACCAATGGATATTATAAATCCCATGATGAGCAGAGGGAAACAATAGTAAAAATAAAGATGATCAAAGTCAACTTACCAACAAGAAGCTGACTGAAGCTGCTGTCACCTGAATTTCTACGTAGGATAACAACTCAAACGTGGCAATGCGATTCATGCTGTCCACCACAATACTGCGGCAAAAGAAGCTAATGCAGAGAATATCATAAACTGTCTATTAATTGATTGCTCATTGTAATATATTCTCACATTATTTTAGGTAAGTATTTGAGCATACTTGAAAAATGAAATTAAAATCTGAACAATATACCACTGGTAGTATTAGACTGGCCATACATTATACATTTTTCTTGTACAATTTTCCTTTATATTTACCAAAGCCATATAATATGAGGTCAAACCTAAACACTTTCAATTTTCATGCAATCAGGCAGGCCCTTGCACTACAAAGTTAAAGGTAAATCTAAAATTGTACAAGAAAATTGCATAATGTATGGCCAATTTTACCAGCATTTAAAATGTATTTTCCGATATTTCCCTATTGGAGCCTATTCACACTTGGATGTACAGCACTGCAATACACACATTTTCAAGCACTGAGGCTCATTGTGGCACAATGGATAAGCGAGAGTATTCACAATTATTGGGCTGGTCTCTATGTTTTTCTCAATAAAGCTTCTTTGAGTAAAAAAAAAATGAATGAGCTGCAACACACCTCAATGCACAGAAATTTAGATCATGCTGAACACTGCAATGCACTTCTTGTGTTGTAGTTACATAGTTAATCTGGCTGAAAAAGACAAAAGTCCATCCAGTTCAACCATTAAAAAAAATAAGTTATAACCCTATACCCACAGTTGATCCCGAGGAAGGCAAAAAACTCAGCAAAGCATGAATCAATTTGCTCCTGCAGGGGAAAAAATTCCTTCCTGATCCCCCGAGAGGCAATCGGATATTCCCTGGATCTACTTTACCTATAAATATTAGTATCCAGTTATATTCTGTGTATCTAGGAAAGAATCCAGGCCTTTTTTTAAAGCAATCCACTGAGCTGGCCAGAACCAACTCTTGAGGGAGTCTATTTCATTTTCACAGCTCTCACTGTGAAGAAACCTTTCCGTATTTGGAAATTACATTTCTTTTCCTCCAGATGTAAAGAGTGCCCCCTTGTCCTCTGTGATGACCTCAGGTAGGTAGGTGCGTTCTGGAGGCGTGTTCAGGTGTCATTCACAAAATGAATGGTATTGTAACACACTATAGCTTTCATGCTGCTTTACTGTGTTGTGCCACAATAGATGTGCGTAAACAAGCCCTTCAAAAATCAGGAATAGATATCATTGTAGTGCAAGATATACAGTATACATGCACCAGGAATGTTAAATAAGCACAGCATGGTGAAAATCATAAAAGTGCAAATTGCAGTAACACACGGCAGCCAATCAGAATTCATTTTACTGAAATCACAGCAGCACAAGTTGGATTCTGCTTGTTACAGCTATGGAACCTTTTATCTATGCTGGAATATATGCTATAGAACACTCTGAGTAAAAAGAAAAGAAACATGCCTACTTCAAATGTTTTTCTATTAACATATGTATACGTTCTTAGCACCGGTTCACACTGGATCCGAATTTGAAATCGTGTGACTTCACTTGAAGTCACATGATTTCAAAGTCTGATGGCAGTGCGACTATAGGTGCGACTTGATAGACATCTGTGGGACTTCATGCACAGATGTCTATGCAATTTGCACCTGAAAACGGCAAAAGTAGTGCAGGAACTGCTTTTCAAATAGGTGCAACTCCGATATCCAATCATTTTTTATACAGTAAACAATAGAGTGAATCTCCCCCAGTGGGGGACAGTGACAGCAGTAAAAAAACTCTTACATTTTTACACATCCACTCTGTACCCGAAAACTACAAAAAAATTGTTTTTAAGCACACTTTTGTGGGTCTATGTATAAATCATTTGTTGTGTAACTATGTCGTTTACAGTTGCTTACAGGCAGTGTAGTTTACAGTTGTTTTTTTTTTAAAGCACCAAACTTGCATTCAGGAGTAGATTTTATCAGCGTTTCAAACGCAAAAATGCTTGGAAATGCGTGTAAATGCATGTAAACATGGCTAATCGCGTTTATAAGCATTTGCATTTAGAAATTTTTTTTAACGCTTCCATTTCCAGATGCTGTTCAGAGCCTTTTTTCATCATGAAAAATGCATGCAAAGTGTTTTCCCCGGTACTCAAATGGACCTGGTACACCATACTTTGAGGTTTCGCATGAAAGAAAATATGTTAGACACTGCTGCAATAATTTCTGCACAGAAATGAGCTGGAACACATCCAAACACCACAAAAAAAGACAGGTAATCTCAACAAATACTGCTCTCTCTGCTTCTGCTCTCTCTATTTCTCTCAAAATGTCTGAAATAGCTAATTTATTATTGTTTTTCAGTGCATTCTGGGCATTTTGGAAGGTCATTTTTTAACCCCCTCGATGCCACTCACACGCAAATATGTGGCCTCTTGGCGTCTGGGCCTTGACGCCGAGCGGCCGCATATTTGCGTGTAATTAGAAATGACATATGTGCTGAGAGCGCGCACCCTGCGCGCTCCCAGCACATATGTTCACGAAATGTCTTCTGCGAAATGTCTTCTGAAACTCTTAAAGGGCCGGGAGGCGCTGGTGCCAAGAGGTTAACCTACATTTTCCAGCAGTCAGTTTCCATCCTTCAAAAGTGTTTTCTAAACATCCCCTGTACATGGAGCCTAAGTATGAAAATTGCAGTACTTTCTCCATTATATATGGTCCCTATACCATCAGCACCATCTAGTGGACATAATATGTTTTCTTTTTCAATTGAGGTATTCTGGAAAACAAATGCATTATGGCCACTAAGTGGTGTTTATGTTATAGGAACTACGCATAATATAGAAAATATGGAAATTTTTGCCCTGGTTGTGCGGATGTTTGTCAGATCAGCACAGGGAACAGTTTATACTATAAGTTCAGATATGTCATTTGCCATGGTGGTGGTTATATAAATAGCCTACAACACATTTCACCTAATTCAGCCTAGGGTGGAATCTGTGCCATGGTCAACCTAGATATCATTGACAACTTGTCACTAGAATCCTGAGAGTGACTAAGGCCCCATTGTAAGTGTATATTTTAGGAATGACAAAAGTGACGTTACTTTCACTAATGTCCAGCTTGGCAAGTTCTCTCACACTAGTGGAAGTCAAATGATTACCTTAAATAAACCATTTACCAGTACATAAACATATGAGCTTGTGAACAAAGACACTTCTGTACCTGTATTTACAGTTATAGAGCCTGACTCTGGCTGCAGCAGAAGGATTACTGGCTGTATACACATTAAGAATATACTGCTGAGGGTCTTCATTGGCATATTCAAAGACGAGCACATAAAATCCAGCCTTGGGGACGTTTACCCTGAATCGGAGCTCCACCTATAAAGAGAATTCATAGGATTTCTGTGAAGACATACAGAAATATGACAGTAAATCGTCTTCTATCAAATCCAACAAACGTGTTAATTGTATATTGGAGCAACCACTTAACTACATTTAAATAGCTGACATTTCAGAACTTACTACCATATGATTAAAATGCATTACCTATGAGGCACATCATCCATGTATCTTAAAGTGAATAGAAACCTTTACAATAAACGTCTCTCATGTTCTTCCTTTTTGTCTGCTAAATATACTATAAAAAAAGTTTCAACAAGTACAAAAAAAAAAATATATATACACCATATTGCCAAAAGTATTGGGATGCCTGCCTTTACATGCACATGAACTTTAAAGGCATCCCAGTCTTAGTCCATAAGGTTCAATATTGCGTTGGCCCACCCTGTGCAGCTATAACAGCTCCAACTCTTCTGGGAAGGCTGTCCCCGAGGTTTAGGAGTTTGTCTATGGGAATGTTTGACCATTCTTCCAGAATCACATTTGTGAAGTCAGGCACTGATGTTGTACGAGAAGGCCTGGCTCACAGTCTCCGCTCTAATTCATCCCAAAGGTGTTCTATTAGGTTGAGGTCAGGACTCGGTGCAGTCCAGTCAAATTCCTCCACCCCAAACTCGCTCATCCATGTCTTTATGGACCTTATTTGTGCACTGGTGCGCAGTCATGTTAGAACAGGAAGGGGCCATGGGAGTAGATGGCAATCAAGCTAACAAGAAGAATAATATAAAAGGAAGTGGGGGGGGGGTGTGGAAAAACAACAGCATAAATATAACCAGTGCAGTCATGGGCCTGTTGGCTCCAGTACGTTTTCACAGCATAAGTAAGCAGCCTGAAGGAGGTCCATGAAATGCTCATCAGGCCATGCACCAGCAGAGAGGCCCAGCAGGCAACCCAGGCAACAGAAATACACGGTGGCTCCTCATGCCAACAAAGCATCTGCAAGTGCCAGCCAGGCTACAATGGATAGACACCCAGCCTACAGCCTGGGTGAATATGTGCACTAAGCACTAACATCAACAGGTGTTCATAAAGAGATCCTCCTACCTGTCCTCCTGAAATATAAGCTACTGGTGGGCTCCCGATGCTTGGTTTTCGAACAATTATTGGCCGGTTTATCCCATCTTGTTTGAAGTATTCCATGTCAGGACCTCGAACACATTTAAACCTCTCCATTGGCAAATTATGATACACAAGACAGCTTACAAACACAAAAAAAGGTATGAAGTCATATTACAAAATTATAATCACCTTTTAACATTTAATACTGAAGTAAAAAAAAAAAAGAATCCTTTAAAGGGTATGTAAACCCCAACAATAAACCCTCGAACCCTTTTGAAAATATTTTGTTATATCTGTTTGATAAGTACAAAAGTATACCTTGCCAAAATTCCTGTCACTTGCTGATTCCTGGGCTTTCTGCCTCCACTGTACTATTAGAAGTTACAATTTTTTTTTTATTATATCTTTTATTAAATTTTATTGCAGTACATAAAACTACCATATAACATTTATCACAACTTATACCTTCCCCAGAAAAAAACAACTTTAACCCCATTCCCACCCCCCCTTAATCCCTCCCCTCCCCATACAATTGCCCCTGTCCGAGTGATTCTTACCATCTCTTTCCTTCCATGTTTGCCAATCTATGTCAGCAACCCTATTTTCTATTATCTAGTTACCCAGTTTGATTCTCCAACTCTGCTACCGGCGCACCCCTCATTTTAAGATATTTTTCAGATGTTTTAAATTCATACCACCTACTCCTATCTTTTCTAAATTTTTCCATTTTATCTTCCTCCATATGACGTAACTCCTCCATCCTATTAATATATTCAATTCTATCTATCCAGTCAGTTGTTGGAGGGTCATGAACCTGAGGAGTTACAAATTTTCATCACTTGTCTCAGAGGCCTACAAAACCACTCCAACATTTGTTATGGAAAAGAGGAGAGGTGGAGGGATTCTGTATTCCTGTCCTAAGGTGACCACATTGCTCCTTCATAGATACAGTACAATGAGTGAATGCTGTTACCAAGGGATAGCATGTTAGTGGCAGAATAATCAGGTGAAAAGAAAGGAAGGAAAAGTATTATTATTATTATTCAGGATTTATATAGCGCCAACAGTTTGCACAGCGCTTTACAATATAAGGGAGACAGTACAATTACAATACATTTCAGTACAGAAGGAATAGGATGGCCCTGCTCGGGGAGCTTCCAATCTAAAGGTAGGAAAAAAGAAAACATATGCAGTCACCAGTCTGGGAACCAATAAGCTGCAATATGTTAGATTTTTGTTCATGGATTTACAGATACACTTAAAGTGTTACTAAACTCAGGACTCTGCATTCATTATGCGTACTGTCTCCCACAGTACACACAACATGGAAATGCAATTATTTTAGTAAATATAAACTAATAAATACCTTTCCTTATTAGTAGTATATAGCAGTCTTGTGACTTCTGTCAGTGTCCAGCTGAGCACTGGTTAAAGCTTGTAGGAGTTTTCATTCTGATCTGACTGTCCTGTAAGGCTGCATAATCCCTGACCCTTTGTCTGGACAGTGTTGCCCTAATGTACCCTTCCAAAAAAAGAAAAAAACTCTCGAGCAATACACACTAAACTGAGCATGCGCAGAATGCCTCCTAGAGCTCTGTACTATCAGAAGATGGATTGGGGACAGTAGAAGAAAGGGAGGATCAAAGAAGACAGGATCAAACTGCTTTTTTACTCAATGCAGAGGATAAACCCCTTAGGTTCCACAGTGAGTATAACAAGCATTCTTTACTGCATATACAGACTGATTTTACTGTTGTGGGTTTAGTAACACTTTAAATGTCTGCCATAATGAAGTAACAAAAGCCATGTGTCAATGAACTGAAGGATTGTTAAGCAAAACAAGGAAATGTATTTTCATACACGTATTTAAAAGGGTTAATAATGCTCCTGCCAGTATTAGCACTTCCTGTCTCTGGGAGGCTGGCTTTGAAAAAAAAAAAACAGAAGGAGGAAGTGGAGTGGGAGAGAAAGTCTCAGCCACAAGTCCTGTCCATGCTGCTCAGTCCAGACCAGAAGAGACTATTATGAAAGTATGTTCTAGTAGTTTAACTGCAGCTGCCCATAGCTTCTTGAATGTGTTTCTGAATCCATGTGACAGAGTATTTCTGTGCTGTTGCTACTATCTCACATACACAGTGCCAGATAGAAAGGTCTGTGCTATTGTAAGTATGTCATGGTCACCTTCCAAAATAGTGGATGAACCTGTTTATTGCAATAGGGTTTATATACAGTTCCAGTTATTTTAGCTAACCCTGTCTCTTCTGGCCTGGAATTCCATAGCTAGTTTTAGTTTAGGGCTCAATAACCAGCATAGGCTAGAGTCAGTTAAGGAATCCGGCAGCAACTTTTGTTGGTTAGACGTCCAGTTGCATGTCAGATTAGAAACCACTAGGGAGGGACTAGAGCACAGAGTAGATAGGCAACTCTGAATTCCAGTGCCACACCACAGTGTCTGCATGTGAGAAGCTGCATTCCAGGCTGTTTGGACAATATAGGATTTCCCCATTACTGCTGATCTTGTCTTTAGGTCTCCCACACAAAGACAAAAGCTGCATTGTGATCATCCTCAGGGGTCTATGCAGCTGAACTTTGCTGCAACATTCATCCAGAGGTATCCTTATTAATAACTATATATACTTGGGTATATGTGCACAATTCCACCTCGACTTTTCTTGGGCCCTTTGCCGATAATACCTGTTTGTACATTGGATGTATGCATAATTACTGATGTTTTCTAATATAAAGCTTGCATTGTTTCCATACTGGTGTGCATCTATATATTTATGGGTGAACCAGAGTTCCAGTTAAATAAAAAAAAAAATAAAAGTCAGCAGCTACAAAAACTGTAGCTGCTGACTTTTAAAATACAGACACTTCCCTGTCCCTCGGTCCAGCGGTGTCCTCTGTGATGATGTTTGAACTGTTTATTAAGAAAAATGATATTATCCCAAATAAAGGATTCTAAGCTGACTGTCATGGGTTAACATCCTCGGTTAATTTCAAGTGACCTTCCAAAAAGTTACCACACACAATGAGTGGAAGAGACTTGTTTAAAAGACAATAGGATTAAACACCACTATTTGAATGTCTGCAGGTGAGCATACACAAGGTACCAAAGGGACAATGGTGAGACAGAAATCCTTATTGTCTTATCTCTCACAAAACTTTGGAAAGTGTGTGATTACCAAACAAGCACCATTGTCTATGGGAAGCCAGGAGATACTTCAGTTGCAGGAAACTCAATTTTAGTGAGTAGAACATCTCACTAAACTCCAACTGGATGTGTACTCTAATTCTCACACAATAGGGCAAGTAACTAGAGGTTCTCCATCACATTTCCTTGAACTGTGCATTCAGCACAAGGTGAAACCTGGGTCATTTAAGATACAAAGAAAAATGTGGTTTATATCAACGGAAATATTATCAGAAAGTATATTACCAACATTTTTCATCAAAGGAAAATCTATTCGATAAGGTTGGGTACTGCATCCCACTCAACTGAAGTTTGAAATGATAAAATATAAGATGATTTGTGAGTTGGGTAATTTCTATATTTCCAAAGGAAATCAGCCATTCCAATATAGTTCATATATTAGAAAAATGAGAAACCAAATGTGTTCACATCTTTCTATGGTCCTTATCCAAGAGTTAGTAGTGAAATCATCTATACTTGAATAGGACATATATTTGATCCATAAGGACATACTGTTGATATCAAAGAGTGAGTCATCATTAAGACCACCAATTAATTTGTAAGTGAAGGACAATTCTTCTAAATTCTTCTAAAATCTACAATCCATCATCTGCAATCTTCCAATCTTCTACAGTCTTCTGAAAACTCTAATCTTCTTGATCACTTCTGAACTACTCCTGAAACTACTTCTTTACTATTCTACTACCACTATATACTGCACTATACCTCACTTGCTACCTGCAGCCATTTTGCTGAGAACTTCCAGCTGCCATTTTGAAGGAAAAGATTTCCACCAGAGATGCTGATGCTCAGTTAAATTCTGGTGTCTGACTGTCAAGAAATACTTCTTTTCCCAACTGCATCCCACTGGGAAGGCCTCAAAATCAAGATTCTGGGAGTGGTGAGACTGTGCTAGAATATTGTAATTTTCTTTGACATTTTAAACTTTCTAGATTTATAACATTTTATTGTGTGGTTAGGAATATATTAAGGTTATCTGAATTATTATTAACTATAACTGTTTGAATATTGGTATTGAGGTTATATACTGCATATTAACTAATTTGTAGTGTTGTGTGGTGCTAATTATCAGAAATACTTTCTTATTTCTCTATGGCCACGAGAAATGAGAAATAATATCTGAAGCACTATAGTCTGCGACTAACCTCCCAAAATTTTGTTTTCCTTTATTTGAAAATCATATTGTATGATCCCATATAGATATTAACATATTATATTTTTGATTGTGTGTAAGAATATATATTCATCACCAGTATTTTGCGTTTGTATTAATATATATATAAATTTTGTACATAAATAAATGTATTTATTTATCAAAAAGGGAAATTTTGTGTATATTGTACGAAATCATATTGGTGAAAGAACTCAAGGTATATTATTAAGTGGTGATCAAATTATTAAGGTGTCCAAATTATTGGTTTCTTACATATTTGCCGTATTTTAACAGCTGGAGGCACTGCAATATTTTGTTTAAGGGAGAGGACACCGCCCTACGTATTTAGAATAAATTATTACATAAACCACCACACCTCACCACGGCTGGTTTCACCGGCCTCTTCTCTCCTCGGCACCCACATCTTCAGCGTGGGCATCCGGCTGTGACAGCTTGCGGCTTCGCAGCCGGGTGCCCACTGGGCATGCATGAGTAGGCTGTGCTTTATGAATGGTCCCATTGTCTTCTGAGACCTGTCACTTGTCCCAGAAAACTACAGGGAGGGAGGGGAAGAGGACAACTTCAGTTTCCGATCACCTTAAACAATCACACCAAAGTGGAAGCGGGTACCTGTCAAATTCAGGTACAAAGCATTAAAGAGGAACTTCCGCTTTTGGGTGGAAAACTGCTTTAATGTGATATGCTGGTTGCAGTCGTTTTTCTGCTCCCAATTAGATTAGACTAGATTACTGGTTAATTTCCCAGGAAAGGAATCCCCTCTGTCCACAGAGGCCCATTTCTGGGTGCAGGCACTCCCAACTTAATTATAAAAGCCACTCTTCCACTTAATGAAGGTTCTGGTTCTCTTATTTACCTACAGGTTTAGTGCAATATCCTGTTTTGGGAGGGACATTTCCCATTACCCTCTGAAAAGATGTCTGCACAGGTCACTGCGTGGACATGACTATCGGCATTCTATCTTGACCAAGTTTGGAAAATGGTTAAAAGAAATTGATGAATATTTAATTATCATCCAGCTTGCTTAAGTTATGATATATTATAGATGCTGATTCACTGAGCTATACTCACTTTTCACCGGTAAGTCCATTATAGCTGCATGGCTCAGTAACTCTTAGCTGCAAAATGGACGCTTCATAGAAATCACTTGGCAGCAGCACAAGGTAATCCTAAAACAAGAACATACATGCAAGTTGAGATTTATATTTCACAGGCATATACTAAGAGGTCACACAACTTTCACAAATATTTTCCAATTAAGTCCAGTTAGAAAAATGTGAGAGTCCTGGGAGAAACGTCACTGTGTGAATCCTGTGTGAAACATGTACAGTCAGGTCCAAAAATATTGGGACATGGACACAATTCTAAAATTTTTGGCTCTATACACCACCACAATGGATTTGAAATGAAACGAACAAGATGTGCTTTAACTGCAAACTGTCAGCTTTAATTTGAGGGTATTTACATCCAAATCAGGTGAACGGTGTAGGAATTACAACAGTTTGCATATGTGCCTCCCACTTGTTAAGTGACCAAAAGTAATGGGACAGAATAATAATCATAAATCAAACTTTCACTTTTTAATACTTGGTTGCAAATTCTTTGCAGTCAATTACAGCCTGAAGTCTGGAATGCATAGACATCACCAGATGCTGGGTTTCATCTCTGGTGATGCTCTGCCAGGCCTCTACTGCAACTGTCTTCAGTTCCTGCTTGTTCTTGGGGCATTTTCCCTTCAGTTTTGTCTTCAGCAAGTGAAATGCATGCTCAATCGGATTCAGGTCAGGTGATTGACTTGGACATTGCATAACATTCCACTTCTTTCCCTTAAAAAACTCTTTGGCTGCTTTTGCAGTATGCTTTGGGTCATTGTCCATCTGCACTGTGAAGCGGTGTCCAATGAGTTCTGAAGCATTTGGCTGAATATGAGCAGATAATATTGCCCGAAACACTTCAGAATTCATCCTGCTGCTTTTGTCAGCAGTCACATCATCAATAAATACAAGAGAACCAGTTCCACTGGCAGCCATACATGCCCACGCCATGACACTACCACTACCATGCTTCACTGATGAGGTGGTATGCTTAGGATCATGAGCAGTTCCTTTCCTTCTCCATACTCTTCTCTTCCCATCACTCTGGTACAAGTTGATCTTGGTCTCATCTGTCCATAGGATGCTGTTCCAGAACTGTGAAGGCTTTTTTAGATGTCGTTTGGCAAACTCTAATCTGGCCTTCCTGTTTTTGAGGCTCACCAATGGTTTACATCTTGTGGTGAACCCTCTGTATTCACTCTGGTGAAGTCTTCTCTTGATTGTTGACTTTGGCACACATACACCTACCTCCTGGAGATTGTTCTTGATCTGGCCAACTGTTGTGAAGGGTGTTTTCTTCACCAGGGAAAGAATTCTTCGGTCATCCACCACAGTTGTTTTCCGTGGTCTTCTCGGTCTTTTGGTGTTGCTGAGCTCACCGGTGCGTTCCTTCTTTTTAAGAATGTTCCAAACAGTTGTTTTGGCCACGCCTAATGTTTTTGCTATCTCTCTGATGGGTTTGTTTTGTTTTTTCAGCCTAATGATGGCTTGCTTCACTGATAGTGACAGCTCTTTGGATCTCATCTTGAGAGATACAGCAACAGATTCCAAATGCAAATAGCACACTTGAAATGAACTCTGGACCTTTTACCTGCTCATTGTAATTGGGATAATGAGGGAATAACACACACCTGGCCATGGAACAGCTGAGAAGCCAATTGTCCCATTACTTTTGGTCTCTTAACAAGTGGGAGACACATTTGCAAACTGTTGTAATTCCTACACTGTTCACCTGATTTGGATGTAAATACCCTCAAATTAAAGCTGACAGTCTGCAGTTAAAGCACATCTTGTTCGTTTCATTTCAAATCCATTGTGGTGGTGTATAGAGCCAAAAATGTTAGAATTGTGTCGATGTCCCAATATTTATGGACCTGACTGTATATACGCACTTCTATTAAATTATCTGTAAATTAAATTTATGTACGAAGGTTGACAGGAGGCGGTAAATTGATTTTCAATTTAACCGCCCACCTACAAGTAGACATGGCAACCGAAGGAAACTGTACACATCCATAGTGTAGGAATACTGTGTTCATGTATTTTGTACAACTACATCAGTATTCAGTGGAGATATATTCTTCAACCAGTAGAAGGCAGTGTTTATAAGTTTGTAGCTGCCTCTATAGTAAACTTTATGTATTTTCTCTGAATAAAGTTTCTTGGTTCCTTGTTACAGTGAAGCAACAAAGCACATGTGGACTGTGCACTGTCTGTTCTGTAGGGCTATATGCAGAATTTCTAACACATGGTTTAATGATTTGATTCGCGATCATGGCAAATTTAACTCAGGATACTGGGCTTGACAGGCGGCACCACCTTCTCTAGTGGAAGTCAATGGGGCTGCGCCTTGGCTCATGGTTGCTGTACAATGTTTCAGTACAAAGACCCTGTTCAGCTGGGAAAACAAAACCCTACCCAAAAAAAGCATGCATTTAGGAGGCGGCTGGATCTTACCACCTCCTGAACACCTGGAAGCTGCTGCTCTGCAGCTCTCTAAAAAGTGAAACACCGCGGATCACTTTTCAGAGGATGGTAGAAACTGTTGCCAGTGTAAAAGAGGCCTAAGAATGGATTCATCTTCACTTTGGAGAGATTTCCTGTTATGTCTGCATGACTTAAAAAAACAACTGACTATTTCTAACTACTCCCAACTTAAGATGTAAAAACAAATTACTTTAGAGACACAACAGAACAGATATAAAACATGATTCAAAGGTGTATAAACTTATAAAGCTAAAATAAAATTTACCAAAGCCCCTTATAGTTTCTTTAACACCAGCTCAATGTGGGAAGTGAGGCTACAGCACAGACACTAGGCAGTGGACAAGGTTAATGTCCTTGAATTATACAGTATACAACAGTAGAAGAAAAGGTCTCACCAGATCAAGGCACCACTTCTTCATTCAGTACATGGTTACCTTATAACATTGTATTGTATTTTAAGCACAGCAAGGACATAGATAAGTGGGGATGGAGGGGGTTCAACCCCAGCATTCGTGGTGCTGTAGTTACTGCTGACAGTCTCTGTACAGCAGAAGGACTGCAGCTGCCGTACCTGCAAGAACTTAGAGACAGGCAGCAGCAGTTTAGATGGAGGGAAGCTGACATTAGCCCCTACTCAGCTCTGGTCAAATCACAGAGCCAAGAGGGGACTTCTTCTCAGTGGAGAATGCCTGGTTTGAAAAGAAGGTGGTTGTACTGGGGGAAAAGTACTAGATGGAGGGGATTTGTACTGGGGGGGGGCATCTGTACTGGAGGGGAGACCTCCTATAATGTGGGAGGTCTGTACTAGGAAGAAGATCTGTGCTGGGAGGGTGGATCTGTACTGAGGGGTAGAATCTGTACTGGAGAGTTATCTGTACTGAGGCAGAAGATCAGTAATGAGGGGGAGACCTGTACTGGGGTGAAAATCTATACTGGGGCGGGGATCTGTGCTGCAGGTAAAGAGGGGATCTATACTGGGGAGAAATCTGTACTGGGGAGAATCCGTACTCTAGGTGCCAAAGTCTGACAATCCTCTGCCAAAAAGAAAATTATCTACGACTCATAGCAAAATTAAAAACAAAAAAAACAATGAGTCCTGAATGTTAGTGGAGAGTGTCATAGTAACTTTTATTCCCAGGCTGTGTAAATAAAAATGTAGTGCAGTGCTAAAAGAGGTAAAACTATGGCGACTCAGATGCATTTGAGTAGAGTGTACTTAAAAATCAATTAAGAAGCATTAACTAAATGATTCATAACCAGTTACAAAGAGTTTGGGGAGTAGTTATTTTTTTACGCAATGCTGAATAAGGAGAAAGAAAGAAGTCTCCTCTTCAGTTCAAACATTCTTGGCTTATTACAATGCACAATGCTGACCGGTGTAATTCCAAGAAACCATCTGGCAGTAACTGCCAATGTTTTGTACTGACTCCGATAATGGGCAGCCTATGAAACACTGGATTTTTTCATAGCAGAAAAATCAGTCAGATTCAAGTTGCCACTGGAAAAAAAACAGGTGGAGAGAAAAATATTTTGAACCTTATTAGGGGCATTACAAGGAGTTGTTACATAAGACACCTCGATAAATAGGGTCACACATCTGAGTTTTAGGGCACTGTCTACAGATGTTAGTGGTAATGCATAAAAAACAGATGTGAAACATAAAACAAAGAAAACACAGTGGTTTGACTGTAGTTTAAGGCCAATAACTACTAATAAATGTTTAAAAAAAGAAGTTGAAAAAAGACTAGAGATGAATAGTAGGGGTCCCTTTCACACCAGGTACACTGGGACTGCACCCTTGCCCAGTCCCATTGCAAGCAAGGTAAAAAAAAAAAGCCTTGTTCTATATGAGATCCAGGCATTGTATCTTTCCAGGGTACACCAGCAGCTGTGCATCCAGTACAACTGCTGGTGTAAAACCTTAAAATTAAAATACCAACAAATGTAAACTAATCCAGAAGCTATTGAAGCCCAAATAAGGGGTGAGGGTTAACAGGATTGCCTCCCAAACATCTCCCTCCTCCTGATACCCAACTTATCTATACCACTTCTAACCTTTACCTATCTTTTTCTTTCACACACACCCATACTGTCCCTTCTCTCAGATCAGGCCACTGACCAGTAACCGCGTCACCCTGCGTGGCCCCCCACAGTAGTGCCTGAACTGATGCACAGTTCCATTATGATTCATACTTAACTCCATCAGGTCCTACATCCTAACTCATTATCGCTGAATGTTAACCTAATAAATTGTGTGAATCTTCACTTCATTTATCCAATCATGTGAAAATCAAATTCCTTCTTCCTTAGTCCCACGGTTTCCCCTTTCACACAGAGTAGCCTCCACTCCGATCAGCAGATCTGTGTGTAGATCCCTTGCTGGATTGAAGCCGAGCAGGACGGATGTCACATATTTATGCAGAACGTATATTAGACACAGGCAGGCCCCACTGAGCTCTGCTGCCTGTTTATATCAGGCTATCTCCAATCCACTCCACAAAAATGGAAAAAGATGCAGTCCTCTTTCTTTTCTTTTTTTTTGGGGGGGCCGAAATGGGCCGGAGGCATAAGTCCGTTTACACCAGCCT